TATTATAGAATGGAGAGTAATCATCCTGAAAGGAGACCTGAAAAGGATTTAAGTTATGAGATCAAAGCCAGGGATTGGCCTCCTAGACCGGCTTCTCATAGGATGAAAAGTGGCCACCTTCATCGAAGGCCTGAATTGGGCCCAAAACATGAAGTCAGGGCCAAGCTGTAGCCTTCACAGCTAGCTTCGAAGATGGCTTCAAAGGAAGAAAGTGACAGTTCAACAACTGGGCTAGTAGGTTCGTGGGTGCCTGGAGTCCCAGATTGGTTTGTTATGCAGAACAAACCTAGGAAAATGTCTACCCAAAGAAATGTTGTTGGAAACCAAGGTAGGATGGTCAAACCTCCTTTGGTAGCTCCAAATAATTGGGTGTTATTAAAGCATCCAAAAACAAAAGAACCGAATATGGTTCCAGTGATCTCTAGATCCCAAAGGAGAAAGATCTAACGAAGGTACACTCAATACCAGAATGATCAGAAAGAAAGTGGAGAAAACTCTTCATTGGTCCAGCCAAAGGCCCAAGTAGAGGGAGAAAAAAGTTTAAAGTTAGATCATAATCCAAAATTGACTCTTCAAGACAAGAGGAGTTGCAGCAGAGAGCAATTCGCCAAAGTTCATTCCGAACTGAAAGCCAAAGAGAGATCCAATTTGGCAGGACTGGAAAAGGCTTTGATGAAAAGTGATAGTGAGACTGAGGAAGAAGTTGGCCTAGGCCAAAAGAAAGAGATGGTAGATGAAGAAATGTTTGAAGCCTTCATGGCTGAGCAAACATTTTTGGTTGAAAAACCAATATAAACAGATCCTTCGAAGAAAGTTACTAGTACCGAAGTGCCAGAATGCAGCATGGAAGATGCTTCTGAAATAATTGAACAAGTTGGCCAGGAAGAGAAACAGGTACAGCCAATTATCCAATTTGGCTCGTTTCCTCCAGTATCAGTAAATATGATACATATACTACCATAAGAATTCCAAACTGAAGATGAGAACCAAGAAGAACAAGAAATTGACCCAATTCCAGTTTCCAGTGAAGACTCACAAGTGAGCATGGTGCAAGATGAATCCAAAGTGGCCATACCAATGGAAAATGGATATGAGAGTGAGGAAGAGGTGAGTATTAACCTCTCATACCCTTTTGAGTATCCCACGACATCCATGACACAGCATGTCAAACCCTTGTATATCAAGGCCTTTTTCGATGGGATACAGATGAACTGGGTATTGGTGGATAATGGGGTAGCAGTAAACCTGCTTCCGAAATCTTATTTGAAGAAACTAAGAAAGAGGAACCCCAGATTAATCTCGACTAGCACAGCCATTGCTGGTTTCGCTGGAGACAAACAGATGGCTCAGGGTATTTTGCCCATCAATGTGGGAACCAGGGACTATATGACTGCATTCTTTGTTATCGACAGTAATGCTAAATACAATGCTCTACTTGGTAGGGATTAGATTCACGCTAACAAGTGTGTGCCTTCCTCTCTACATCAGAAAATAATGATGGCCTTGGGCAGTGGAGAGATAGAGGAGATCAATACAGATCCTCAACCCTTCATAGTTTGTGCAAATTTTGCAAAGACCAAATTGTATACTGAATGAGTGGCACCACTCAGTGTACTGAGGAAACCTGATGGATCAGCCGAAGTGACGGCTGATGAAGAATTAGCACACCTGAAGCACTTAGTCCAAGAAAGTGCTGATGAGGAGTTTGTCGCCAAAGATGACAATGATGCCTGGTTATAGGCAAAAAGATGGAACCCAGGAGGCCAGGTCTTTGGCTTTAATTAAGTTCTCAGTATTGGACATAAAATCAATAGTCCAGAAGATGCAAGAGCAAGAGGAAGAAGCCATGGCAATTGGCTGTAAGCAGGAACAGCAACAGGTTAGGGTTTTGGCCTTGGGAAAATACTGTGCATTAGACATCGAAACAAAAGTCCAAGAGATACAAGAAGAAGAAGCCTTGTGGACAGACTTTGTCTATGAAGAGAAGGGCAAAGATGTTGAATCAAAGAAACTAGGAGCAAGACAGAGCAAGGAGATTACTTCGAAGAAAAAAGAAATCAAAAAAGAAGAATCCGTGAGTCCCCAGATGCAAGACCCTTTGGAAGAAGTGAACTTAGGGGAAGGTTCTATGCAGCAGCCCACCTATATAAGTGCTTGGTTGAATGCTCTTGATAGGGACCAGTTGTTGGTGGTCTTGAAAAGATATAAAGATTGTTTTGCATGGTCTTATAATGAACTACCAGGATTGGATAGGTCATTAGTAGAACATAGGCTCCCTATGAGGCCTAATTTCAAGCCATACAAGCAAAAACCAAGAAGAATGAGTCCTGAGGTGATCCAGAAGGTCAATGAGGAAATTCTTAGGCTCCTCAAGGCAGGCTTTATTAGGAAAGCCAGGTATGTTGAATGGTTATTCAATATTGTGCATGTAGTTAACAAGAATGATAAAATGAGGGTATGCATCGATTTCAGAAATCTGAATTTAGTAACTCCAAAAGATGAATACCTTATGCCCATAGTAGATTTATTGGTGGACAGTTCAGCAGGGCATCAAATTTTATCAATGATGGATAGGCACTCTGGTTATAACCAAATCTGTTTTGCAAAAGAGGATATCCATAAAACAGCATTCTGATGTCCTGGGAACATTGGTACCTTCGAATAGATTAAAATGCCATTTGGTCTGAAGAATGCTGGGGCTACATATCAAAGGGCTATTGTAATAACCCTCACCACTGCTTACCGATAAACACTGATTACCGTTCAACTAAACTGATTATGACTGATAATTAAACTGATTAAAATACTGAACTGACTGACTGGAATCTGGAATTAATAGACTGACTGTATCTGTTTAAATGCATAATCTATCTGTTTGATTGTTTATTTGATCTGTTCGTATTTTAGTGTTAAACTGCTAATTGACGGTCTTATCGGCGGCCGAATCCGAAATTGATTAGTGTTTCATGATCAGTAGAATTTATGTGATTTTATGGTGTATTTATCTAAAATGTGAATTGGTATGACCAAATTAGATTAAATATTGATCAATTGCATAGTTTGACTTATTTACCAACTTGCCATTGTGAGTGGTCCACTACTTGATTCATTGTGAGCTTCATTACACTTGATCAAAACATTTCATCAGTCCATATCTCTTATTCTAGCCGACCTTAGAGAGAGAGAGAGAGTGAGAGAGTTGAGTTCACTTGTAGAATTGCTTGAAGAATTGAAGATTGATTTCATAATTGAGCTCCTAAACCTTGAATACAAGACTAAGGTAGGAAACTCATCTTCTTATTGTTGTCATTAAGCTAGTTCTTGCATGATTCATGCTTCATTGTAGAACTAAGTCATGATTTGGGTCAAAAATGTTGAATTATAGCTTAATTCATGCATGCATGTTAGTATTGTTGGATTTTGAGTTGAGTTCATGGCAAATTGTCACATGCATGTCCATGTTTTGAGTGTAGGCCATTTTTTTATCTTGTTTATGAATCAATTGGCTCATTAGAGCATGTTTTGAAGCTTGAAAGTTGTTTGAAGATCATGCATGTCATGTTTGAGGATTGTTCTTGAAAAATTGGTTTCAAATTGAGTTTGAATTAAACACCCTTGGGCTTTGATTTCTTAAGTTGAGTTTTGAAACATGTCATTCTATGAGTTTATAAGAGTTTTCCAGAAAATGGGCCCAAGAGGATCGGTTTTGATACATTTGAACTTGAGTTTGAGCTTGGAGGTGCAATCTGGAATTTCCAGATTTTGCACTCCCGCTCGAGCGGGGAAAGTGGCGCTCGAGCGGGGAATCCGAGCATCCAGCATCTTGCACTGTTTTACAGTCCGCTCGAACGGAGGATTGGGCGCTCGAGCGGAGGCATGTGTCTCAAGCTCGAGCGGGCGTTGAGCGTCCGTCGAGTGGAGATTTCACCAATCCAGTACTTTTATGGTACACTCGAGCGGGTACCTTTGTTGCATGTCCGCTCGAGCGGGAAAACCTGAGCTCGAGCGGGACTCTGTTTTTCTGAAATCCTGAAACTATTTTCTGAGCACATCTTTGCATCCTCATCCCATCCTAGGCATTCTTAGGCCTAGTTTAAGGCATCTTACTGAGGATATAGGTGTAGAACACACCGAGGCAAATTAGGGGTTAAGTTCTTATCTTTCCCAACTGTGTAGCTTAGTGTGTGTTCAATCTGTTAACTGTGTAGGGTTGGCGACTGGGGAGGCACGCTCTAGCATACTGTAGCCCAAACTCTGTGAGTAACAATTGTGTAAAGATATGTTCAACTGATATCTTTTGAATACTGAACTGAACTGTTTACTGAACTGATATTGTTTACTGAATGAATGTATGTCCTATCTTCTGAACTGTATTGTGGCATCCTTAGCACCTACTGTTTACTGTTACTGTTACAGAGATCGCTGTCGGTTCCCTCGTGGGACCACTACTGTTTACTGATTGATGGCCATCATTACTGCTCGGTCTTTAAGACCTACTGTTTACTGCTATGCTAATGGATGTACCACATATAACTGAATAACTGTTCTGACTGAAAGACTGAAGTATTGTTTAATGAACTGATTTCATTACTGTAAGGACATTCATTCTAAACCCCTAGTTACGATATTTTTTATTATGTCAATTCATGGCGAGGTTATGTATTTTATAATTGATATTACGAAATTTTATAATAAAATTACACATTTTGTAGTAGGAGTGCATATGGTATGTCCCCTTAAAGAGGTGCACACTATAGGAGAACCCAACAAAAAAATACCTTAAAATCAGCGTATTAGATTTTAATTATAAAAAAAAATGGACGACACGGCTGTGCACATAGTATATATGAATTTTGAAATTTAGGTAGCATTTGATAAGTTAATTTGTCAAATTTTTATTTTTTATTTATAGGAATTTGAAAATATTTTCTTATAATTTTACCGAAAATAAAAAATATATATGTTCATTGAATTGTGAGAAGAGAAAGAAACTAAGTGAGATGGGGGAAAACGCTCCCAACATCGTGAATAGTAACCTGAGCAAGAAATCCACTGAAGAACAATATCATCTCTCAAGAAACACCAAGAAACTCAAGGATATTGAAGCGATTGCTAGCGATTCTATGGTTGTCGAACCTGTTGGTGACCAGGGGCGATCGGACCAATTGGTAAACGAGGGTGTCTCCTCTGTGGAGAACCATTCTGGGCATAATCGTGGTCCAAGATCCTTCAAGGAAGCACTCACTAATCTTCGTCCTTATGAAAGGGCCTTCGACGATGATCTGGATCATCTGTCAACAGATGATGAAGAGCTTGGTGAGGAAGCTTCGGACGATGAAGAATATATGGATGAGGGAATGGATTTTGGTGTTCCCAGAATTAAACTCCCTAAGAGTCTCCTGAATAAAATTAGGAGGCCTTGGAAGGACTGTTTGATTATCAAATTACTGGGAAAGACTGTGGGTTATAAACTTCTTATTACCAAAGTTAGAAATATTTGGGATCTCCAAGGAGATTTTGAAGCTATTGATCTAGGGCTTGGATACTTTCTTTTTAAATTTCAAATGAGGGAAGATTGTGCTAAAGTGTACATGGGAGGACCTTGGATTGTTTTGGATCATTATCTAACGGTTCGAAAATGGAAGCATGATTTCAAGCCCTCTCAAGCCAAGGAAGTTTCAACTGCTATGTGGGTAAGATTTCCACAACTTCCTATTGAATATTATAATGAGAAAGTTTTATTTCATATAGCCAAAATTATTGGGAATCCCCTGAAAATTGATATTAATACAGCCACTTCTTCTAGAGGAAGATTTGCTCGTGTTTGTGTTGAAATGGATTTGAATAGACCTCTAATTTCCCATTTTGCTATTGGTAGGTATACTTATGGTATAGAATATGAACATCTTCATTCCTTCTGTTTTTTTGTGGTAGAGTTGGCCACAGAAAGGAGAGCTGTAGTGAGGCTCCGAAGAAGACCGCCGGTGGTGTCTCTCCGACCAATCAAGATGAGCAGAATTTGACCGTTGAAGATGTTGTGGTTGTCAGTTCCAGTAAGCCCCTAGATGGGTTGGCTAGCACTGATGAGAACACTAAGGAGGCCAATAGGGAGAGTTATGAACCTTGGATGCTTGTTAACAGAAGAGGCCCTCGGAAAAATTTGATGGGAGGGAGAGAGTCCAAGTTTGGGTCCAAGGGCAAAGCCCACAAGAAAGATATGTTTAAGCCCACTCATTTTATTCGTGCTACACATTTAGGGGAGAGTTCCATTGGCCCAAGCTTGATGCATCAAGATCTCCTCTCTGCCGATATTCCTGTCTTAGAAGAAAGTGTTGTTACAGATAACCCTTCCACGACTTTGACTGCTGACAACACTTTGATGGACAGCTCTGTCGTAGCCAGAGCTTCCCCTCCAGTTAAGGCTTTTCCAGCTGGTGTTAGCATTTCTGCAGAACCTTGGGATAAGGCTTTAAAGCCATCTTTACCTAGTCCCAAAGAACCACCTGATCCTAACTCTTCTTATCTCCCAAAAGTTAATCTTCCCAACATATCCTTTATTTCTGAGTATGGTGATTCTAGAGGAGAATCAACACAGAGTCCAAACAAGCATGATCTATCTTTCATTAGATCAAGAGAAAGAAGCCATTCACCTAATAGATGTCAATTGGTGGATCGTAGAGGCTCGTCTTATAGTCGAGCAGGAGGAGATGAACGCTTATGGCCAAAAGAACAACATGGTCAGAGTGAGCTCCATAGCTTCACTAGTCAACGACAAGCTCAGAGCAAGGAGGATATTGGGAACCCTTGATAGGTTTCCTCTTCTATTATTCCCTAAATCTATCTCCATAAAGCTACTTATTTGGAATTGTAGAGGTGCCAGTAACAAAGCCTTCAGATGCACTATGAAGGAACTGGAGAAAACTCACAAACCTTCTATCATTGTCCTGATGGAAACAAAAGTTGAGCTTAGTTCTATGGGTCTCTTCTTCAATAAACTTGGGTTCACAGCCTCCTCTCATGTGGATCCGGTGGGACGTAGTGGGGGCATCTGGATTTTGTGGGATCCATTCCGTGCGACGATAATGGCTCTTGATGTTAATGCTCAAGTCATACACGCTAAGATTAAGCGTGATAACTACTCAGATTGGATTTTGTCGGCTATTTATGCTAGCCCAAATCCGCGGCTTAGAGACACACTTTGGGAAAATCTGGAAGATGTTGCTCAGAATATGAATGACCCTTGGTTATTAGCGCCGTCGGTGGTTTCCTTCTCTTCAGTAAGTTCCCCCCCCCTTTTTTTCTGTCTGTTTCCCGAGAAAACTGCAGAAAAAGAAATGGGTAATAGAAAGTTTTGAATACACCTTCCTGTTTGTGTAGTTTAAGTTTCGAGAAATATGGATAGCCATTGATTCCAAACGGGTATCATTCAATGATTATTTATAGGGTTTCTTTGTTCTTCAATTTTCAGGGATATGATTCATATTGGAATGTGTATCTACGCATGATTTACATTTGTGTATGATTTTTTGAGAAAACGAGTCTCTGCAGAAGTACAATACCTACTTATAAGAATCCAGATAATTGGAATTTTTCTAATTTGAGTGTTTCTTCGTAAATGTAAACGTTGAGCAACTCCAATGGCAAAGCTATAAGACCTGCCAAAGCCATTTTTTTCCCTAGATATCTCAAAAATTGTTCTCCGATGGTGAACCAAATTTCTTGCCAAAAAATGGCAAAGCCCTTTTTTCTACGTCAACAAAACTAAATCATGGGCACAAGAGATTTTATGAGTGGACCTAATTGCCGAAAATTGATATGGGAATTGATTGCTTCAAAATAGCATATGAACCATTGGAGTGGTATAGTATAGCCAAAAAATAGCTTTTTTTGCACTGTAGCAAGCAAAAAAATAGCTTGAGCAAAGCCATTTTAGCTTTTACCATTGGAGTTGCTATATGGCCATTTTCTATACTAGGGTGTGGAGGGAGCATAGTAGAAGTTGTGTGTTTGGCTTGAGCCAAATTTTGAATTCCGTGTTACAGGCAATGTTGTTAATCTCATACTGTGCCGGACATGGCCAAGACACAGTTATCTTGCTATGAGCTCTAAGAAGAGTCTCATAAAGTCATAATCAGCACCGCTATGTAAACATGATGTTTTTGTTAATCATTGCTTACTCCTTAAACAATACAAATAAGTAGAGCATTCTCTCTCTTAATTTTTGAATTAGTGTTTGATTGTTGGATATTGAATTACCATTTTAAACCAGAGTTTGGTTGTTGATTGCTAATGTTTGCTTTTTTTACTTGTAGTGGTTATAGGAAAACTTGTCTTTTTCTTCTTGTGCTAGTAGCACACCCACAATTTCTAATATTAAGGATGGTTGATGATTGATAAAATAGTACTTAATATAGATTGAGTACAGTTTTAAATTATAGATTGAGTGGGTGCAAGTGAGAATTGTGCCATTTTGGCACATTTCTCATTTGCTAAGGACACATGTCTCACTTGCACTCCATTGATTTGCAATTACTTTTCCTGTTTCTCATTTTTACAGCTAATTGGTTTTTCAAACTGGTCTATTAGTATCATTATTATTTTTATTACTCTTTAATGGGTGATTCAAACTTCATTTTTTTTTAGCATTACATTTTGGGCTAATTTTACAAATGGGTGCAATGGAAGGAAATGCTACCCCAGAATATGGTAATTAACCACCAACACACACACACCAAAAAAGAAAAAATAACAAAAGACCATGCTTGATTTGAATTAATATGTAATTTCCATCAATATTATGAAATTCCTAGGCTCATTGGTTTCTTCATGTGCGCTGTTCCTTGGTCTTTTCAATTGTGTGTATTATTTTCTGATTATAAAATCTTGCATTGTAAAAGGAGGGTCTAAAGAAATATAAGGTGTTTTTAGTTTTGTTGTATTTGGTGTTCTGCAGTGTCAGTGGACCCTGTTTTGCATTGAGAGACCCTCAATCAGGCTTCTTGTTCAAGTTATATTATTTTTCACACTTCCATAGATGCTAAAGTTTTACCTTTCTTTGACCAACATCTGGACTAAACTAGAAAATCAATCGAGGTCTTCATTTGGTGTTGTGTCATTAATGATATCAAAATTTACCATGTAGATGATCATGTCAACCAACCTCATATTTGGCTGGACCCATGTTGGGAAATAAAGTTTATCTTAAGTTCTTAACGAATAGAAAGGAAAGAAAGAAACAAAAATATGTTATAATAGTATTGTATTTCTAGGTTAATTTGTTTGGTCTTCTCTTGCCAGCTGCATTTGTGGGGAAAAAAATTGTGTGCATGAAATTGATGCCTTAATGGATTTACTCTGGTTTGTCGTGATAGGGAGTCCTGTGACGCGCTGGGCATCAGTGGCTTTGGGTGCTGGAGTGGGTATTGGATCTGCATACACAGAGTGTTCTTACAAGTTTGATTAGAAGTTGACCACCTCTAAGATTTCAGATCCTGCTTCTCAGGTAGTTCTCATGTTCTTCACTTACTTTATATGATCTATTTAATGTTTAATTAAGATTAACACTTCATCCAATTATACTCCTATAGCCATGCCAAATTGAGGAGCAGCCTTTCTTTCTACATTCAATTGAAACGCACTCAATATTATTAATCCGAAAACTGAATATTATAATGCTAAAAGCCTAACATTTATAGGCCAAAACCCTAAACGAATCAGGAAACGGATCTTAATGATATTTGGAAACATAATAAAAAAAACTAAATTAATAATTAGTAACTACTAACTAAATAATAGTAATAATAAAAATATTAATTACATTTATTGGACCAAAAATTCTTTGAACCCACAGGCTTTGCCGTTCTAAATCTGATAGTAATGGGCTTCTAGCCAGTCAAGGGTTGCGCCATTAAGTTATTTATCTTGTCATTTTCCATTGGTGTGTACCGATGTCAAAAAATGGTAAGATACAATAGTTCAATACAGTTGTGATGCCTGCATGGCGGTTATGATGTGTGGATACTTTTGTTTTTATTATTTATTTTTGAAAAAAAATTGTTCACAGTTGTATGGTTTTTATGAAGCACAAATACATTGAAGGAAGAATGATGGCTTTTTTTTTTTTGTTGTTTTCAGGATGGACAGGACTGAGATTAGAATTTGAAGTACCTTCAAGTTTTTGGTCCCAAATCAGAATTCTTCATACAATTAGATTGGGTGTTACCGTTTTTCTGTTTCAGCTTTTGTCCATGTATTGCCAAGATTGTTCTGGATTGTTAATCATTTAATCCAATGTAGTGGAAATTTCATATGAAACCCTTATTTCCTTTCACTATGTATAATATCAATTGGGGTTTCGTAGATGAAAACAAGAAAAAAGGAATTACAGCTTTTATTGAAGCGTTGGGCTAAATGTAAGGTATGATATGCAGATTTGAGTTTTGGTGACTTTACAAGTATGGACAGCTTTATTTTTGTTCTTATTTAACTTCTTGATTGCCTTTGGTGACAAGTATATGGATTTTCATTGGCTTCTTCTATTGAGTAATGTTGCAGTGTGCCAACTCCCTTCGGTTAGGGTTTGGGAGAACTGACAATAATGTTGGAGCAAGGAAAAACAAGGTTACAGCAAAACGGCAGCATGGACGATTAACTGTTGGTAAAAATCTAATTTAAACCTAATCGACAATGATTTGATCAATAGACTTAAATCAATCTTTAAGTAAACACAAATAAAAATTAAGCTTTGTGGTTGAGTTCTATGCGTTAAACAGAGTAAGGAATTTCCTAAAGGTAATTAGGCAAAAAAGAGATAGAACAGAAAAGAATATGTATTAATTCGAATAAATTGTTACTTGTCACTAGTTTCAAAAACTTAAACAAGATAAAAAATTGAAGAAATACAACAAGAGACAGAAGGAAAAGAAGTGGGGGTTGAAAAAAAGCTATTGGTTTAAATTACTCCTAAAATGTTAAGTTAAATTATTTCTAGATAAACTCGTTTGCGAGTGTGATTGGTGGTTGTTGATATATTTTTTCTTCTGCCTTTAGCCGTCTTTTATATTTGTTTCTTGATTAGGCTCTTGATCTTGATCTTCCTAGATTCTCGGATTCTCTGCATGCTTATCCTTTCATTTCAGGAGTTATTTGAATTTCAAATTCCTCTTTGATCTGCTTCTTCTTTTATCTCTTATCCCAGCATTTGTTCGTGCTATCTTGACCAATACTTGATGTTCTTTCCACTTCACTTATACCATGTCATCCCTTATGTCTTGTTTGCACCCTACTGACAGAGGAATCCAACTTCTAGCACCAACACTAACACACAGGTTTTAGTTATACACTTATTTATTTATTTATTTATTTTTGCAAACATGGCAAGTATATATATGTTCTAGTCCGGAGAGATAACTTAATTAACGCAAACTAAGCAAAGAGTTTTTCCTCTTTTTTTTTGTGTGTGCTTATTTTCAAAGAAAAATTGTAGAAATCTCAAAAAATTTATTAAAAATTTTACCAAATATTTTATATAAGTGTAAGATTCACATATAACTCATATTGTGTAGTCTCACACTCATAGACATTTAATAAAATTTTAATAGATTTTTGATATCTCTAATATTATTCTTTTCAAAGAGTTTAGAAAAATTTGACAATCTAACCAAAAGTTTTTATAAAAAAAAGTCAATTGTAATTAAGGGTGTTTTGGAAAATTGATTAAAAGTTAACTTTTTAGTTTTTTTTGTGTGGCTATTTTGTTACTTTATAAGTAAAAAAATGTGAGAAGTGATGTGATCCAAAATAAGTTAAAAGTTAAAAGTATAAAATAACTAGTTTTCAAATTGAGATAAAATTTTATAAGTCATGCTGTTCAATAGTTTTGTAAATTTGATATAAGTGGGGCCTTTAAAGTTTTCTAATAAATAATACAATAAGCATTATAAGTTTAGTATAATTAAATTGAATTCATTTTTGGTAATATTATGGCCATTGAAATAATACTAAAAAATACATTCAAGGTAAAAGAGAAGATAATATTAATTTTATTATGAATATAAGTAATAAATTGTTAATAAAAATGAGATTAAATATTATGTAATTTAAAAATTTAAAAATAACTCAATATAAGTTAGCATAATTTAGGGGTTGTTTGGGATAATCTAAATAAGTGTATTTTTTGACTTTTTATGAAATATGAGTTGAGTTTGGATTGGGTTTGAAGTAATGTGTTAGAGGGGTGATGTGACTTAAATAAGATGATATGACTTAAATAGGATAGTGATTTTTTGACTTTTTATCTTTTTCAAGACATGCCAAACTTGACCTTATTCTTTTGAATTTTTGGTAAGTCTTTTAATTAAAATAAAATATATTTTTTTAACTTTTTCATTTTTGACTTTATTTTAATTTTTAAACGTGGAAAAAAAACAAAATGAGTTTATTTTATCTTATTTGGCTTTAAAAAAACAAAAAAACAAAAAAGTCAAAAGTAAAGTAAGGAGAGTCTAACAAAAATTCCAATTCACTTGATAGCAAGCCAAGTGAAGAAGCTCGCGCTCTCTCTCTCTCTCTCTCTCTCTCTCTCATCTCATTCATCATTCGATTCTCAATCAAACCATGGAAATCGATGAAATACAAGAAGTCCAACTAGAAGAACCATCTCCATTACCAGTAGTAGTAAAAGAGCCTCCCATGATACACCGCCTCGATGAGTCGGTGGTGAACCGAATCGCCGCCGGTGAAGTGATCCAGCGGCCTGTCTCCGCTGTCAAAGAACTCATCGAGAACAGCCTCGACGCCGACTCCACCTCCATCAACGTCGTCGTCAAGGACGGCGGTCTTAAACTCATTCAAGTCTCCGACGACGGCCACGGCATCCGAGTATACCTACCTCCCTCCCTTATTTACGTCTCAATTCAAATTCAATTTCTCTACTCTACTCTACTCTATTTTGTATTTATTTCTGTTGAATTTTTTGATATTGCCATTGTTGTTGTTGTTGTTGTTGTTTGTGATATGTATATATTTTGTAGTATGAGGACTTGCCAATACTATGCGAGAGACACACGACATCCAAGTTGTGTAAGTTTGAAGATTTGCAATCGATTAAGTCGATGGGTTTCAGAGGTGAGGCCCTGGCTAGCATGACCTATGTTGGTCACGTTACCGTCACCACCATTACCAAAGGCCTATTGCATGGTTACAGGTATGTACGTCTCACCATCACCATATCTATCACCCACCAAATGTCTTCTATTCTTGCCTTTCCCCTCACTCTGTTTGGGAACCTAGGAGAGAGAAAAAAAAAATTATATAAAATAAAAGTTAGGAGAGAAAATAAAAGAATTAAAAGAATTGTGTTTCTCTTCCTCTTATTTAGACAATGAATAGAAAAAATATAAATATAAAATAATAATTTCTCTCATATTTTATTGGTTAAACTATATAAAATAAAATTAAAAAAAGAAGAAGAAATTTTTTCATATTATATTATTAAAACAATTTTTTATACGTGTGAGTTTTTTTATTTCTTCTATATCTAAAGGGAAATTTTAGTGTTATAAAAAAAATAGTGATTAGTTGGTTTTTTTCTCTCCCAAACTCTCTATTTTGGTTTGGAGATTCAGAATGAGGGTGATGAGAGAAATAGGTTTCTCTCCATTTCACCCCACTTCTCCTCACTTTACTTATTCAAACAAGTGATTTGAAAATTCAATCTTAAAAAAAAAAAAAGTGATATGAACCAACCCTTTTCTTCCCAAATCACCCAATCCAAACAGGCTTAGGAAATGAAAAATCTTTTTAATTTGAGGTTTTATCCCTATTTTTGATTATTGATTATTATTATTATTATTATTGGGCTTCTTGTTCAGGGTGTCATACAGAGATGGTGTAATGGAGCATGAGCCCAAAGCTTGCGCTGCTGTAAAGGGGACACAGATAATGGTAGGATTTGGACCTTTGACCTTGGCTTGTGCTTCTTCTTAGGTACACCTTTATGATTTGAGTATCATGGTGATGTAGGACAAGTAGGGGGTTGCACTCTCCTACTGGCAATAAGCCTAAAATTAATATATGCTAGCAAGAAAACTTGGGCTTTTGGGGCTGATTTTAATTGTGTTTTATGGCTAAATGGTTAGCAAAACATAAGAGGTTTTTCAAAGATTTATTTGGGGTAACAAAAGGGTAGGGTTTGAAGAATGAAAACACAAGATTTTACAGATTGTTTCAGGGCTAAATGGTTAATCAAAGGGCTTCAAACTTTGATGTTCAACAATGCTGATTGCCTTTAATGGTTCATCAGAGGACATAGGCAACAAGTTAGCCACCTCAAGGTGCAAATTTTAAGCAGGGCTGACAGGAATTTTCCAAACTTGTAGTTACTTTAACGATAAATATCATCCAATTCTTTGCTTTCAACTTTTGCTACTTCAGGGACAATACATGTAACTTCAATTGGAGGCTTTCTCAACCTTCATAATCTTGTCATCGTTCACCTTGGGCATATCTTGTTTGTTTTCCTTCGCTTATAACTCCAATCGTGTGAGGTTATGATCTTTAACAACAATTTTCATTATTTGTGCTACTTGTAGCGCATGCTTAACACAATTCTTTGGATGCTACATGAATTATGAACTTGTAGTAGGCTTAAAACCATCTTTAAATTCAACGAATTTTTGGTGCTGGACTTCAAGTGTCAAGTGCCCCAAGTCTTTTCATATATTCTTCAAACAACATATTGGCATGTCTTGAAGAAACAAATTGTTTGCATGAATTTACTTGATAGGAATATACTTCTTTTGAAGCTTAAATTTCATCTCTTTCCATGTGCTTATTGGTTGCACTTCCAATCCTCTTGTATTTTCTTCAACACATACCACTACATTTGTGCCAAACCTACAAGTTTCATCTTAACAAATCTCACCTTCAATCATTTATCCTATCATGATAAAAAAAAGAACTACTCAATTGAAACAAGCTAATTGGAGAACACTAAAGGATCATCCCTTCTTTCAAAATTTGAACTTCTATCTTACGTTGTTTGATCTATTGTGGCAAATAGGATCTCCCACTTTGTAAGAATATAGTGGGAAAACCTTAAGCTCTAATACCAAAACTGATGCAACTCTAGTAGATGTAGTGCAAGTTTGTCAGGCTGTTAGGATTTGTTTTTGGGCTTAGGAGAAAAGAATTTATGTGGAAAAATTAAGGCTGTTCTGGGGCAATGAATAGTAACCCATGATAGTATGGGAGTTATTTAAAAGGGCTTGGCTTTAAATTTCCCTGACAGTATGAGAAAAATTAAACCTTTCAAAAGGGCTTTCAAAAGGGCTTGGCTTTAAATTTCCCTGAGCACGTGGAAACAAAAGCATATTGAGGGAACAAAATCAAATGCCATAAATTCTAGAATTATTTGGGATAAAATTTCACTAGATTGAATATGGGAGTTATTTTCATTGTAAGACAAATTAAAGATTTGTTCTGTAATTTAAATTGTATGAGGCACAATGGGTTTCAGGACACAAAAAAGCAGTTTATAATTGATGAGTTATAACTTGGGCGTTTCATAAAAATGTTGTTGTGCATATCTAAGTAATCCAATCTTTTGATATTTTTATTTTCTATTTTTTCTTCTTTTTGTTCATGTATTTCTTCAGATTGAGAATTTGTTTTATAACATGACTGCTCGGAGAAAAACACTTCAGAACTCTGCTGATGATTACCCAAAAATAGTAGACTTATTAAGCCGGTTTGCCATTCATCACATAAATGTGGGCTTCTCTTGTAGAAAGGTTGGTCTGTTGACCCTTGATTCTTAATTTTTCCATTTTGTGAACAATATTTTCCCTCTCTCAATTCTTCATATGTGATGATTAACAATTTCCCACATTAAACTTCCACTGTACTTAGCATGGAGCTGCTAGGGCAGATGTTCATTCAGTTGCGACAGCTTCAAGGCTTGATGCAGTCAGATCTGTTTACGGAGTGTCAGTTGTGCGCAATCTGATGAAAATAGAAGTTTCAGACGATGACCCATCTAGTTCAGTTTTTGAGATGGATGGTTTTATCTCCAATTCTAATTACGTTGCTAAGAAGATCACAATGGTGCTTTTTATAAATGGTACGTATGAATATTCTATTGTATATTGGAATTAATAAGTAACTGTCTAATTATTGTAATCCATTGAGATTTATCATTACCCACAAAAATAAAAAATGGAGGTTTATCATTCTTAGTTACATCTATGATCTTATTTGGTTATTCATTACTGATATGCTCACTAATCTTTTCTGGCTACCCCTTAACATAGATTACTATTAGGGAAAGCAAACAAATAGCAATTGGTATTGTATTCATTCATTTTTTTTTTCTTTTCCTCTATTTTATTATCCAGATAGATTAGTTGAGTGCAGTGCCTTAAAGAGAGCTATTGAAATTGTTTATGCTGCAACCTTGCCGAAAGCATCAAAACCTTTCATATATATGTCAGTTTTATTGCCACCTGAACATGTTGATGTGAATGTACACCCAACAAAGCGAGAGGTATGAATGTTTCTTCTCAAAAATTGATGATTATTATTGCTAAAAATAATTATCATTGTAGATAAGACTAATGCTACACAAATAGAAAGGTGTGCATAATTTTTGTGCAGAATGATGTGGTTGAAATCCATTAAGATGGCTATCTAACCAATTTTAAATGTTGGGCCGATTTCCTAATAGTTTATGCTTTTGTGATAGTTGACGATCTAACCATCAACAACAAAGGAAATTGCTTGGAGAAAGTGTCAAGGAGGCACAAGCTATACACAACTGAACAAAAAGAAAATTAAATAAATATTTTTTTAAAAGGTAGACCATCTTTGTAAAATAAAAAAAAAACCATTTGCTCTCTATTCCATAATGCGTCAATAAAATGCCAAAATCTTGAAGGGTCCTTCCCTGACTTTTGACATCATCTTTCATTTCCCCATCCTTGCCATTCCTTTTCGTTACCAATTACCATGGAGCTTTGTCATCATTAGTCATCGAATTCCATTTCTTTGAATTTTTGCTCGGGTGTTTTGTTTGTACTTTTTCTTAAACTCCTCCATGAACACCATGAAGGCACTACTAGGTTTCATAGTTTCCTTCACCCAAAGAGTTACTAGTAGCAATACTTTCTACCTCCCTTGTCCACCATCAACACCGACTTTGCTACTCTTCCACCACCACAACCTCCATCACTTGGTTTTGATAAGTACTTCCATCATTATGCTCTCTACCAATTGTAAATCCCCCTCTTCTAACCCTAAGCAATGCAGTAGACCAAAATTTTCCATCACCCTAGAGAGGTGCACTTTACCTTCAAATGATCTCTTCTTCGCCAAAACACCTTGAACAACTAGATACCGTCAGAATTTTGCCCCCATGAAGCACTTCATTTCTTTCATAATTGCTCCCTTTTTGTTGGATTCAACTTTCTCTCACCATCATTTGTCAATTCTTCGATAGATTGGATAGTCTTTGTAAGCTTCCCCTACATCCATGGAGGGCACCCTCCTCAATGTAAATGTTGTCTTGCGCATTTCCTTCAATTAACTGTCCTGTTGACCTTAGCTTAACAACTTCATCAATCGGAGGCCCACACTTAAATATAAACCTTCGCCAAGACGTGTAGGCCTCTTGAGATCTCTTCACCTCTAATCCACCCAAATCCATCCCATGAATCTATTGGCCCAGGCCACCAACATTTTATTATAATTGTTGTAAGCTTGAAATATAGGTCCCTCCCCTCTTTTGGTGAATTGGGCCCTCTGTTCAACCAGCCCCCCAATGTCCAACCCACCAAATGATCTGACCTGATATCAACCCACCAAAATAACAGACCATCCCTATTGAACTAACCTCTTCTTTGACATTTCCTTTGCGGATCGTCTCCTCTCCTCTACTCACTGTCGTCATTGTTCACCATCGAGTCTCTGTAGAACAAAGCCCAACAATACCAAGAAGAGGCAAAATAAAGATAAACAATGGAGCATCAAGATGGAACCCTTACTCGGACTGAAGAGAAGAAACCCCCAATTGAAACAGAAGCAAACCACAATAAAAGACAAAAAAGAGGAAAAAAGTATGATGGATTCCTGTTTCTGGGGAAGTAAGCTTTATAAATGAGTTAGCTTCTATTGAGAAGACTAGAACATGGGAGTTGGTTTCCTTGTCTGCCAATAAAAATTCCCTTGCTGGTAAGTGGGTATATGAAATTCAAATCCACTCATGGTTATGTGGAGTGTTATAAAGTGCAATCCAATGTGGTTTTCTCAAGAGGACAGGATTGACTATGAGGTGTTTTTTTTCCTGTAGCTAAGATGACCATTTTTCACACTTACAACTTCGTTGTTGGAAACACTCTGAGCTGCTCTTTTTTCTTGTTCAGTTTTATCTGTCCTAAAATGTTGGTTTAAACTTTTCAACCTCATTAGCGCATTATATAAATGCAGGTAAGCCTTTTGAATCAGGAAGTTGTTATTGAGAAGATACAATCTGCAGTGGAGTCAAAATTGAGAAACTCCAATGAGGCAAGGACATTTCAAGAACAGGTATATTTTTCTGCAAACTTGGTAGCTTATAGTTTAGTGATGGTAAACAAATATTATTAGTGGTCATGTCATTTGTATTTATGATTTAATTGGAAGTTTGGGCAAATTACAATCTTAGTCCCTGTTGTTTTTGTTTGTCTCTTGTGTTAATTTGGTCCTTGTAGTTCTAATTGCATCAATTTTATCCCTGAATTTTTCACTTTATGTCAATTGAGACAGGTGGTAGATCCCTCTCCGTCTAGTCCTATGCTTAGGAGCAAAGATTCCCCAATTAATCCCTCAGCTTCTGGTATGAAGAACATTTTCTTTCGCATTTGGCTGGTCTCATCTATTGGCAGATCTATTAAATGTATTGTCATTTTGGATTTGCTCCATTGAATTGTCCAATTTTGTTGCCTTACTACAGGGACAAAATTGCAAAAAGTTCCAGTCCACAAAATGGTACGAACAGATTCACTGGATCCTGCAGGGAGGTTGCATGCCTACTTGCAAGTTAAACCTCCTAGCCATCATGAAAATAATTCCAGTTTGACATCTGTGAGGTAGGACTTGTATTTAGTCCAAGTGCATCCCTTTTTTTTTTCTTTTTTTGGGATAAATAGTCCAAGTGCAACCATTTACTTTGATAACTGAAACTGAAGTACTTCTAAATCTTGCCACATAATAAATATGCAAAATATGCAGGCAAGGATGAGTGTCACGTTCTCTAACATGCACACAAGAATTAATTATAAATTATTCTCAGAATCATCATCATTCAGTTTCTTCATAGTAATCGATTTGGGCAAATCATCATCCTTAAGTAATGGAGGTTTTGCCTCAACCATGAGAAACCAATAAGGATGCAAACCAGTGAAACAGAACAAACTCAAGTCTATGACACCAAACAGCTGATTGTTCAAACCAGAAGTGGACTGCTACAGTTCAGCCGAACTATCTTTAGGCCCAATAGTCATTGCAAATGCGACAAATAAAAATGAACCTCAAAGGTGTCCTCCTATAGCCTGGTTCGTACCCATAGACTTGATTCCAACAAATATTTTGCTGGGCAATGCTACAAATCACATATTTAAAAAATGACCCCTTATATTCCAAAAATAATACGAAAAATGAAAACTTAAATCAAACAACTTCAAAAAAAAAATCTACAAAAATCACCATAATTACCAGGAGGGCAAGACAAATTAGATTGTGTGTTTGCCCGATCACGGCATTCATACAAATGCTGAATTATGCTGATGTCAGCATAACGTTGTGCCTCTTTTCTCTCTTTCTCTCTTATTATTTTTCACTTTTTAATGTTTATTTTTAACTACAAGAAGTGCTGTTGGTCCTTTATAACGTTGTGCCTCTTTTCTCTTTTATTATTTTTCCCTTTTTAATGTTTATTTTTAACTACAAGAAGTGCTGTTGGTCCTTTAAGCTTGTTTGTATGACCACATACATGAACAATACACGTCCCTTGAAGGCTGACATGTGCAAGTGTGTATAATTAATGATGTGTAAGGTACATGCCATCGATTACTTGCCTGTGACGTTTGGTAGGTTAGGAGGTATCTACACTGGTCATGATCCATGAATAAGTTGTAGATGCATATTTAGTTATTTTATGATTTATGATTTATGAAAGAACTCCAACTGCAGGTCTTCTATCCGACAAAGGAGGAACCCAAAGGAAGCTGCCGATCTAACTAGTATTCAGGAGCTTATTGATGACATTGATAACAAATGCCATTCTGGTATGTTTTTACCAAATTCACCATTGTTGACACTGGAAAGTTTTCTTAAAGTTGAAGAAATTTGGATAATTCTTTCCAATAATGTATCTCTGTAGCTCTGCTGGACATTGTAAGACACTGCACCTATATTGGGATGGCAGACGATGTGTTTGCTCTGCTTCAGCATAATACTCACTTATTTCTTGCCAATATAGTGACTTTGAGGTAATAATGCTCTTTGATGCTTCTTAAAATGATGGACTTAAATTTCTACTTATCGATCTTTCTGGAAAACAATGATACCATGATGAATTTTGTTGCCATATAATTTTTTGTAGGACTGACCCACTTGCAGGTTCTGAAGAGTAAACTATTTGAGCTTGTCTTGCTTCTTGTCTAGTTCAAATTGGTCTTGGGGGCACTGATTACTCAATGCTCCACTTCTATGTCTTCAGTTATTGATTCTTTTTTATCATTTGCTTTTATGCCTCCATGTATCAGCAAAGAGCTCATGTATCAGCAAGTCCTTCGTCGGTTTGCTCATTTTAATGCAATACAACTAAGTGACCCAGCCCCACTGCCTGAGTTGATTATGCTGCCACTGAAAGAGGAGGATGTAGACCCAGAATGCAATGAAAAGGATGAACTGAAAGAAAAGATTGCAGAAGTAACTGATCTTAATCCAAGCAGATTAATTGCTTCAGTTTGCACTTAATTTTGCTCCTGTCATCCTGTTTTGCCTCTGCTGTTGAGTTCATGGATCCTTTTTTGTTTAATTCGTGTATGATTGTTTAGTATTTCTATAATGTTTAAGTGCTCTCTCTCTCTCTCCAGTGTTAGTATTATTTTGGTTTTGTTGGCAAATGCTGATCAACTTTATGTATACTATACATTTGTCACATGATTCGTATTGATCAAGTTTCACTTGTAGGGCAATCTGATTGGATCCTGTTAAACTATTTGATCCCAAAATAACAACAAAGCATGTATATATATTGGTTACTTTTCATACTAAACACTTTAGAAGTTGTATCTTGATATTTTCACCAAAAAGAGTCAAAATGGGGTCAGAATCTATTGATCCCGATAATTTCAGAAGTTGCATGAATCATAAAACATGAATTGAATTATGAATCGTGCGATTCACTTTTGATTTATCACAAAAAAAAGTTTGTCCCATAGTTGAGGAAACACTCAGTCGACAATACTTCTACATACATGCATTGATTATATGTTCTTTTCTTTCTTTTGATACTTGAGATTTGGCACTGGTGATTCTTTTTTCTTCCATCTGGCAGAAACTAGAAAAAATCTTGTTATTCATAAAAGGCAGACCTTATATAAAATTTTATGAAGTGGTGTAAAATGGGTTCTTTCACAATGGCTGGTCTTCATTTGTACTATATGACTAAAGTTAAATTTTTGTTCTTCTTCAGATGAACACAGAGCTGCTCAAGAATAAATCTGAGATGCTAGAGGAATATTTTTGCATCTATGTTGATTCACAAGGTAACTTGTCTAGGCTTCCTGTCATACTTGACCAGTACACACCTGATATGGACGAGGACGAAAATGAGCATGAACTAATTTCCGAGGCAGAGACTGCCTGGGCCCAGCGTGAATGGTCAATCCAGCATGTCTTGTTTCCCTCCTTGAGACTTTTCTTCAAGCCCCCAACTGCAATGGCCACAAATGGAACATTTGTCCAGGTATTTTTGTGGATTCCCTCTGGAACGATACCAAATGTTACTCTGGTGTGCAATTGCCTTGGATCTTGAGTATTTTTAAATTTTGTAATCCAATGAAAATTAAATGGATACTTTACCATCCAGTGTATTGTGTCACTCATGCTAAATAAAGAGTTTGTCAGGTACTATCTACCTTGGTCTTTTTCGACTGATTGGTACTAGATTTTTGAAGCTTCTAATAGTTATTAAAGTGTATATGGCTGTAGCTTGCATTGGTGCAGGTTTTCACTCCTTGTATTGTTCAGCAATTTGCTCGACTTATAGGAGTTTGACATTCTTTTTTTTTATATATATTTATTGTAAAGTTATGCATTGCATTTTTTGCTTGTGATTATGGAATAATGTGTTGATCCTTCTCCCACAGGTTGCTTCACTGGAGAAACTTTACAAGATTTTTGAAAGATGCTAACAAGAATAGTTCGGTTCCAGACCTCATGACACAGACAGTTGTTGATGCAACATATCTTCTAGGAGCAGCCAGCATCCCTGAAGGCTGGTGGAGAAAATTGTGTTAGTAAGCATGTTAGGTGTCAGTAAATATACCTCTCTCTCTCTCACTCTCTCTCTCTCTCAACTATTGATGATACCGTGGAGATTCCCAAGGATAATCTGTCAGAGGTCAAGCTAATACTTTCTTAATGACTGTTTATGCAAATATTAAAGTTTGTGCCAATTTCTTTTGTTGTTGCAGACTACTATAATTACTGTTGTGTGAATATTAGCTGTACAACGGTGTTTTTGTAAACTGAATGGTTTAGAAGTGAAAGATTGGTAAGGAGGGAGAGAACAGAGAGACTGAATACTCTCAACTTATCTTTTAGGTTTCATAGTGGCAGCCTAAGAGACCTGGACACGAGTACAGACATGGGACATGGAATTTTCAAAAAAATTAAGACATGAACATGGGGGATACAAATTATTTATTTATTTTATATATATTTTTATCTGCTATGTATATGAATATTAAGTTAGGGCACAGAGATATGAGAAGCATCGATTTCCATATATTTACTTTGACCCCAAATCAGTTTTCTAAGAGACTTGTCTAGACGTAGGACGTGTGTCCGTGAAGTATTCTCAACATGTCTTGCAAAAAATAATAATTAATAATTTGACAAGCCATATGATGTGTTTGATACATAGACATGCCACGTGTGTAAGGGTAAGGGTTCCATATGAGAAATGCATCCAACATGTATAGTTGGACATGCACCAAACAAGGATGTCTAAATGGTTTGAGTTTACTATATCACTGTCCCCAAGCAGAAGAAAATTCCATGAAGAATACTGGTATGGGTGTTTCCTTCTGCAGATCCTATCCATTTTATATTGGTTATATTTGCTTACTAACTTGAATGGTTTGACCACCTACCTTGTGTTCTTTGGACCATGGAGAAAACTTGCTGACTATATAACCAGGATCTTCTTTTTTAATTGCTGATAGATTATTTTTGTGAACATCAAGGTTTTCCTCGATGATGTACCCTATAGTCTATAGTAGTAAATTTTTTCTTCTAAAATCACTTTGTTATTTTATTTTGGCGTTTTGTGTGTGTGATGTGCCCAAGAGATTTTTTGTGTGGTATACCCATGTTTTTGCTTTGTCGTTTGCTGCACAAAGATTGTTTGCATTCAAAGCAAGAGATGAGCCATTAAGATTCCCAGTTTTCTTATCTGGATTCTGAACACACCACTCAAACATGCATGCTTAGTCCAGTGGATGCTGTGTACTGATGCATTGAATAGATCTAATGAAAGATGTCTTGGTCCTGTGGATTGTTTGCATTTAAAGCACGATCATTTGCCTTTTCCTTGATGATTTCTTAGTTTTGAGGCCTCTTTCCTTGTCTTTTGTTAAACTGATGATTAGATCTAATGAAAGAATCCTGATTTCTCTCAGAGGATCACATAATGGAGGACGAAAATGAGCATGAACTAATTTCCGAGGCAGAGACTGCCTGGGCCCAGCGTGAATGGTCAATCCAGCATGTCTTGTTTCCCTCCATGAGACTTTTCTTCAAGCCACCAACTTCAATGGCCACAAATGGAACATTTGTCCAGGTATTTTTGTGGATTCCCTCTGGAACGATACCAAATGTTACTCTGGTGTGCAATTGCCTTGTATCTTGAGTATTTTTAAATTTTGTAATCCAATGAAAATTAAATGGATACTTTACCATCCAATGTATTGTGTCACTCATGCTAAATAAAGAGTTTGTCAGGTACTATCTACCTTGGTCTTTTTCGACTGATTGGTACTCTAGATTTTTGAAGCTTCTAATAGTTATTAAAGTGTATATGGCTGTAGCTTGCATTGGTGCAGGTTTTCACTCCTTGTATTGTTCGGCAATTTGCTCGACTTATAGGAGTTTGACATTCTTTTTTTTATATATATTTATTGTAAAGTTATGCATTGCATTTTTTGCTTGTGATTATGGAATAATGTGTTGATCCTTCTCCCACAGGTTGCTTCACTGGAGAAACTTTACAAGATTTTTGAAAGATGCTAACAAGAATAGTTCGGTTCCAGACCTCATGACACAGACAGTTGTTGATGCAACATATCTTCTAGGAGCAGCCAGCATCCCTGAAGGCTGGTGGAGAAAATTGTGTTAGTAAGCATGTTAGGTGTCAGTAAATATACACCTCTCTCTCTCTCTCTCTCTCAACTATTGATGATACTGTGGAGATTCCCAAGGATAATCTGTCAGAGGTCAAGCTGATACTTTCTTAATGACTGTTTATGCAAATATTAAAGTTTGTGCCAATTTCTTTTGTTGTTGCGGACTACTATGATTACTGTTGTGTGAATATTAGCTGTACTTAGAACGGTGTTTTTGTAAACTGAATGGTTTAGAATGGTGTTTTTGTAAACTAAATGGTTTAGTATAAATACAAGGGAGAAGTTCAAAAAAGTGGATAGTGAAAACTTTTTTCCCCAACTAATGAAAGTACAAGATATCTTTGCATAATTGAATTTGAATGTATAAAATACTTGTACCTTCGTCATTTTGTAATTATTTTTTCACTCTCCACTTTCTTGATGTTCTCCTTAAATATACAAAGGGCTTAAGGAGAGAGCCCTAGTTTTCTGTATTCTTCTTTTTTCTTCTCCTTTATTTTTCATATCAGTCATCATGATATCAGATCAACTGTTTCATTGTTGGCCTTGAAGATTGCTTCCCCCCTATATTTTATTTTTAATATGATTAATCTATATTAAATTTAAGCAATTTAATACCAAACAGTTTTTAACTCACCTTTGAAAAAGGAAAATATCAAGTGTTTTGTTCAATTATTTGCTTTTCAATTCATGTGTTGAATGCAAGTCAGTTTGTAACGACTGTGAAAACTTGACAATATAAAGTTATGAACCAAGCAAATACAATGACCATACCCTTCTTTCCTGGAGTTGAGTAAAATGAAGAATTCATTGCCCATACGCTCAATAGTTCAGAAAAGAAAGAACAATTAAAGTTCAGTGATTCAAGAACACGTCTCGAAATAACCTTCTTTTTATTTATTTATTTATTTTTTTTACTATTCATGTAATTCGGTGATTCACTGTTTTAATATACAAACTATGCAGAAACATGGAATCCATTCATGTAATTCTTCAAACAATGTTACAAATTTCTTCCTACGTACAGCATGAAGAAACAAGAAATAGGTATCTGTTAGCTAGAAACAAAGACTGACTAATACCTGTTATGTCTCAATGCACTAACATTTTGCAGACCAAACGGAGAGGAAATTTTTAGCGTCTTTTCATAATGTTCTTTGCTTTCCTTGAGAAGTTTTTTATCAAAACCTTATCAGCAAATGTTAAAGGAAGTTCTTCCTCTACAGCCTCTCTTTGTTCTGATGAGTCATCTGAATCGCTTTCATATTTTGAGCTGCCATCTTTGGTTTCTTCGAGCAACTCAGTTTCTTCAGCTATGTCTCGATACAGGTGTTTCAGTATGAAAAGGGCAGTATCATAATCCCTCCAATAGTTCCTGAAAACCAAGGGAAGTATCAAATAATTAATCAAGGTGGAGGAAACAAACTAGCAAACTATAGAGTACCAAGTCCATGCCCCAACAAGTTCAAGCTTAAGTGAGCACTAGGGCATGTGAAGTGCTGTGCAAAGTCATGGTTTCAATCACACAAATCAGATTTAGCAGATTGAGAACTTTTCAACCCGCTGCCAACTCACCCATCCACAAAACAGGGTTGGTTGAATAGTTTGGCTGTTTCAGACCAACGGTTTGAGTGGGTTAGAAATACAAAATGGAAGAGAACATAGGCGGGTTGGGTTGATTTGTAGGTTGGTTGACAAATTTTAACTCACAAGCCACCCAACCCACCAATTTTTATCTTCTAACCCACCCAACCCAACTTGTTCACCTTCTCAAACTGCATGGGTTGGTTTCAATTGGGGTGGTTTTTTTACACACGCTACACGTAATGAAGGGTCACCTCAACAACTAGTCTTTGCTAGTTTATAAATGGGGGATTTGGTCAAAGCCCCCAAATAATAAAATTTTAATACATTAAAGACAAACACAAAAAGTTTTTCTTGAAAAATCCAACATGTATTATTATTATCAAAATATTAAACTTTAAAATAATATAACTTTTGATGTAGATATCAATTTTTAATAAAATTAGTACTTTTAAAATTCTCTTGTCAAAATCTATCAAATAAGATTCATGTTGCTATGAAATTCTTAAATATATATATATATATATATATTACCGTCAAAATTGATGTAAATAGTAACAGTAAAATGTTACTCTGTCTCATAGTAATATGTTACTCTGTTTGATAGTAATATATTACCCTGACAATATTGTTCAAGAAAAAAAAAAAAAAAATATATTTTACTTTGTCCTTGCTCAATTATGTGTTTTCTCCTTAGGGGGTTTATGAAGCAAAATAAATTGAACTGTCCTTTTCACCAAATAAGGATCCGGTGGAGGGGTTTTGGTCTTCAATCTCTGCTTCCCTTGCACACAGCTGTCTCTTCGGCTCGACTCACCTCTTGCCTCGGCATCGACTCCAAGGGATCCAGGTCGTTGTCTCAGGGTATGCTTTGCAGTGCAAATCCAGGGGTTTGATTTTTGTATTGTATCCGTAAGCAACTTTTTTTTGAAAACTCTTGATTGATTAACATTTCTGTTTCACTTGACTTGCTTGATCTTTTTTCATGTTTGTGCATTTTGTGATTTTTTTTAGTTTTTTCATACCATTCATTGTTGTTTGTGTTGTAAATCTGGCTAATGTGGACTTGTATTTAATGATCTTTGAGTTAAACCTGTTGCTGGTGCTTATTAGTTTCATGTTAATCAGTAATTTAATTATGCTGTTCTATCATCTCATCAGATTAATATTGTTGGTTCATTTATTTTTCCTGTTTTTTGGTGCTAAAATTGAACTTGGAGTCAACAGTTTGGACAGGTGTTTGGAGATGTGGTAACAAAACTAATTCATCATGAAAATTTGGATTTTCAATATTTGCAATGTAATATTTTATATTTTAGTGAACGTGGTTTCAACTGATACTGCTTTGAACTTTCTGACTTGCAATGAACAGAAACTGCTGCTGATATGGATAATTTAGATTTTCCTTGGGGAAATCCTATGGTGTCCCTAAAGGGGTGCATATGTATGCGCCCTACCACAAAAATGCGTAAGATCGCCACAAATTGGCGTAACAAAAATATTCAAAATTTTGTGGTTGATGTTGTGTGGTTGATGTTGTAAAAGTTTTGGCTTGGTTACGACATTTTTTGTTAAGCTAATTTGTGGTGAGGTTATGCATTTTGTAGTTGATGTTACGAAATTTTGTGAAAAAAGTACACATTTTGTGGTGGGGTGCACACCATATCATTTTCTAGATTTTATAACATTTTGCTTTGATCTTTTAACCTCAATCTCAATCAATGTTTACAGTTAAAGAACTGAAGGCTTATTTAATTTTTTTTTTAATTTTATTTTACGTGATTAATATCAAAGAACACATTTTGATGAATAATGTTTTCTCCAACCACTGAATGAAGGGGTTGACATTGGATGGACGTGTACCAGTGAACCATGATTGAATAAACTATGTACAAGAGCAGACAATTGTGTTGCATTTTTATATCTCGGCCTCGTCTCACTTTTAGCCATCATGATTTCTGACTGTTGAGCAAAGGAGTCCAGAGGTGAATTTTGGAGGAAAAAAATCGTTATCTGTGCTAAAAAATAGGGACCAATATGAGTTTGTTTGTCCCTCCTTTTTTTTTTTTAGTTACCTCATATGGAAGAGCATATGCGTAGAAGTTGGCAAATGTACAATTTCTTATTGGTTCATATATTGTTGGCTATAAGCCTATAAGTATAAGTTCTCGTTGAAAAAGAAAAAGGAAAGCTATAACTACATTTTTCCTTTCCCTCACATTGTATTCAATTAAATGCTCAAACTTTGGAAACCTTTGCTACTAGTTGTCTCTACCTTTAAAACTTTAGTTAGGTTTTGTTTACATTTATCAAAGGAGAAAACAGCAGAAAATTAAAAGTGATGCATTGATGTGATTCATAGAAAAATCAACCCCTTCATTCTCAATACATGCCCATTTCCAGTACCCCTACAAAGAGTAAAACAATATTAAACATTTCCAAACTCCATTCAGAATTTAGAAATATTTTGTTCTTAAAATTTGTATAGGTTTTATTCTTTCTTTGGTTGTATAATTAAAAAAATTTCAACTATGATATTTTTGTATTGTTATGCAAGTGTTGGATTGCTTTCTGTTATTAACAAATATAGCTATTTATATTGTTTACTCTTTTTCTTTGGATAACTTAATTAAATTATTTTCCAATAACCATTTAACAAAATTACTCGTTTTAGGATTTTTATTAGTATTAATTTGTGTGCTTATCACAATAGTTGGGGAGATTAGAACGGATGTGATCCATAAAATTAAGGCGGGGTGGCTTAAATAGAGGAGTGCGTTTGGGATATGCGATCAACGTGTACTCACTAGACTAAAAAGAAAATTCTATAGAATGGCTATTAGACTAGCGATGTTGTATGGAACGAAATGTTGGGCAATTAAAAAATAACATGTAGATAAGATGAGTGTTGTAGAGATGAGGATGCTAAGGTAGATGTGTGGCAAGACTATAAAAGACAAAGTTAGGAATAAGTATATTCGTGAATGTGTAGAAGTAGTATCGATAGAAGATAAGTTGATAGAGAGCAGATTGAGATAGTTTGGCATATATAATGGAGACCAGCAGAGGCAGTAGTGAAGAGATACGATACAATGACGGTAGATGGAAGTGTTAGGGGGAAGGGGCAGGTCTAGATTGACGTGGGCTAGTGTAGTAAATAGAGATATGAATCTCCTTAATTTGACTAATGATATGACATTAGATAGAGTCGAATGGAGAAAAAAGATTCATGTAGCCGACTCCATTTGATAGGATTTATGGCTTGGTTTGGTTTGGTTATTCCTTCTAGATGGACCAAGTAATGCAAACAAGGGCAGCCCTTCAATCTTAATGTGTTCCCTTAATAGTCTTACTCTGATTATCATCCCTGGAAATGATCTATCATGTAGAAGGGTTTGATCATTGCAAAACAGATGGTGGAAACAGTATTGTATGCAACTAATTTTTTTGTTTGCTGTGGTCCATATGATATGTACTACTAGGCATGAACCCAAACCCCTGCCTGATTGGTGGTTAAATATCATCTCAAATTAGCTTTAAGTGAACAAAAAACCTTGCGCTGATGAAAGAAATTGGCAGCCAAGCACCTTAAAAACCTGAAGGTCCAGTAGTTATCTTTTGCTTTGGAGTTTATGTGATGATCATTATTTCATGAATGTCAAATTATTTGTTTCTCAATTGTGTAAAAGATGCATATTTTATAATTGATTGTCCCCTAGTTTCTTGTGCTATTTTTGCATGGAAATTATATAATACCAAGAAGTGGAAGTTCATATGATTTTCTTATCTTTCATTGATATGAATTGGTAACCTTGAAGTCTGCGATGATTTTTGATCTTTAGCAGCTGCATGCTAGAGACGAAAAATTATTTAAAGCATGATGGACTAGATATCCCTATCAACAGTCACCTGCGTGGTATTAATCAAATTCAAAAAGCAGCTACTACCAATTAGATATGCTTATTCTCTTTCATGGGAGTTCATGTTCTATTAACTTCTGCACCATGGTTGTTGGTGTTGATTAATTCATCCAACAAATCTTATTATTGGCATGATGAATTTGCAGCAATCGCCATGCACTTTTTTATGGGACAGTCCTAATTATTTTCTTTCTGTAGCTTTTAATTTCATATTTGCCATCATTATCAGTGTAGATTTAACACACTTACTCTTGTGTAGGAGTTTTCATGCTCACATGCTTGCGTAAAAATGTTTGTACATTAAGGTCAAGTTTGGCATCCTCCAAAAAATCCAAAAAGTCAAAAAGTCACTATCCTATTTAAGTCACATCATCTTATTTAAGTCACATCACCTCTCTAACACATCACTTCAAACCCAACCCAAATCCAACCCATATTTCATAAAAAGTCAAAAAGTGCACTTATTTAGTCTTCCCAAACTTGGCCTAAGTCTCCCTTGTCCATAATTTCTCAATGATTCAAGAAAATATCTAGAAAGTGTAAAGGTAACAAGTTATCTCCCACATCTAGAGACTTATCTTCTGTAAACTGCCCATCCACAACTTAATGGGAGGGAACACTACCATTTTAAAGCAGGATGCACCATTTCAATAAGTTGCCACACAAACAATTACATTTACGTCCCCACCCAGTGGAGCAGTCTGTCTCCTTTGTGGATAGGGCTATACTCTTCAATTTTGCAGCAACTTAAGGGAGCATTACATCACATACAGATGGTACAATACTATACCACCGAACAAGTGGAATAGTTGTGTAGTGTAATATGCAAAAATGGTTATTTATACCTTAAAATTTCCAGTATGTATAGTTATTGGAATATTTACCTGCAATCAGTGCCACAGAAAATCGCAACATTCTACACAATCATGCATGCAAAATGAAATACTAATGACAATTCAAAAGAAAAACAATTCACTCCACAAAACTCAAATCTGGCAAAATGTAATAAGTTTGCTCATGTGATGCCAATGTTTTACTCAGTAAACCAACAAAACATTAAAATCAACATAAAGAATGTAAAATACAAATTTGAGGTTCGAAGCACAAAATGGGTAACTTACGTATGTGATCCAATCGCTGATATGTATGGATGCTGAAAGGTTTTATCCTGCATTACCAACAAGGAAAATATTTCAGAACAAAATTGAAGTTCACTGCAGCAAATGCATCCATGATAAATAGAATGCTAATGTTTTTTATAGGGCCAGCAGAAGGGAACGAAAGAAATTGTCAAATGATTGAATGCTACCATCTAAATGTTACCTAAGCACAACAAACTCCAATTTTGCATCTCTGTTTGTGAAATCGGGAAGACGAACTAATTTAGTCCAATCCATGATAAGTTTTGTTTTGGAAAAGGCGAAGAATATTTGTTCATGGGGATGTTTGGGTCGGGGTTGCTTCATTCAATAATTTGTTCTCTCACTTATATCATCTTCCCCACTCACAGAATGCTTCCATTGCCTTTATGGCATTGCCCTTTTCAGTTCCTACCTCTTGGAATTTCAATTTCTTTAGAAAACTTGATGATTATTTCCTTGTTATCTATTCATGAGAACCAATTGTGTTGATAAGAGAGTGGACAGTCCATTCTTTGAGTCATTTTGTTGCCGATAAATATATATACATATATATATATATATATATTAACGGAAAATATGAGATACGAATAGCCTTAATGTTCAAGTAAGGATTAGGCAACAACATAAGAGAATATATTTAACAATGGGATGCAAAAGAATAGCAAAGGTTTGTTACCTCCAAATAAACATGCTCTCATAATGAAATTAAAAAATTGAAAAGAACAAAAAAATGTAAGCTTCAAATTTGTAAACAATAAAAGCTCAGAAGTTGAGACCAAGTGATACAAGTGCGTACTTGAAGCACATGATCTATTCGCCCATCCTCACTACCAGTCAATCTCTCCATCATAATTGAACCATATGATCTCTCTTCTTTTTCTTGGGTATCTTCTGATACTTCTGCAATATGTACACAGAAGGACACAATTAATCAAGGGATTTAGCAGTTAAAGTGGATTGTTATATGCTTTGTTCTCTGGGAAGGGTGGAGAGGAAGGGAAAAAAGGAAGGCCCTTTAGCTAAATGATGGTTTCTATTTATCCAACTTGCATGGAAAAAGACAGTTAAGAAACCAAAAGGCACGGGGTGGAGGCAATAAAGGAAACAAGTATGCTTGTATTACCATCAAGGCTATCCTTGTTTCTTGATTGGCATAGTGTAAGCATTTTGACCTGTTCAAAAAATCAGATATTTCAAAACTCGTACTTCAATCAGAAACAAAATGCATATACTAGAATGGATTAATGTCGTGCAATAAAAAGACAAATGTACCCAAGCCATTGTCAATTTTTTTTTAAAAATATGGTGGTGGGTTGAGTAATCAAGAACCAATTGCCTAGGGTGAATTGATCAACTTAATGGCCAACTTCTATATTGTTGAATAAGCTAAAAGAAACATGATCCCCAGTGTCTCTTTACAGTGATAAATCAAAATGTACTTAATTCACAAACATTCTCACGCACTCACATACACACACGGCACACCCCCTCTGCGGTGGCCCCTCCCCATTGCTGAACCTGACCATCCAGTTAAACCCCCACTCTGAACCCGAAGTAACATATACAAATATATATGTATTTTTTTTTATATACACAAAGAAAGAGAAGATATAGTGAAAGGGAGGAGAGAGAGCCCTCAAAAAGCAGTTAGAGTGATCTTGTGTGAATCTCCCTCACTGAAGTCACATATCTAGGTTCTCTTTGGATATGGCCCACTTGTGACTTTGGAAATTTTCAACTTCCTGTGCCCCACCCTGTTCACACCTAGAAACTTATGTTGAACTTGTTTTTTCCTTCAACAATGAGAAATCCTTTCCTAAAGCCAATGGCTTGTGAGATCTAATTGTTTACTATTTTTTTTGATAATGCTAAATCCTCAAGAACTGAGCTTCTTGACTTTTCCCACAGTGAGTTAAATCCACAACAAAAAAATTCAACTCTCCAACAATTCATGAACTAATTTTCAACTGAAACCAAAAGAGAAAAGGAAATCTGAAGGTAACACAAACATAGGAAAGAAAAAGGAAATAGTCATGGTTTTTCCTTTACAAAATTGTGAAAATGGTGAAAAAAGAAGCAAAAAAGTAAATAATATATCGTAGCCTTAGAAAACAATTGTTCAATATATCTCAATGTCATGTTGTTTCTATGTTCAAAACAAGCACAGAGAGGACAGCACTCAACTAAGGATTCAGTAAGTGCCCAGCAGAGAGGAAGAAAATAGGCAAGGAGAAGCCAGTTAACATGTTAATTGGAAAAAAATTTAGCCAAGGAAATGCATGAATGTTATTGCACATTGCCTGCCATCTGCTTTTAGTTCATTTTGCATTTGTCTTTATTTTGTTGTTTAAAATGGTAACTTTCAATGAGATGATTCCATTTTGTTTAAAATGATAACTGAATCCTAGAAAAAAAGTTTTAGTTGAAAAGATCACTAGTCCGTTTATTATGTGATAGTTAGAATGACATAAATGAACCCACCTTTACGGAGTTTAGTTGATCCGTTACTGCCTGAGAACGTAAAACTAAATCTTCAGCAAATTCCTGCAACACACAGTATGAGGACAGAATGAGAATGGAGGAAGCTTAAACCAAAAATAATATTACTGTTAGAGAGCATACCTGAAGTCCAATATGCAATCGTTTTCCACCTTTGTGGTAAGGGATAATAACAGGGCGTTTGCTGATGTATTCTTTACAGACAAGTGGTTCTATTCTGTAACAAAAGCCAATGTAGCTTCAATAAACGTGTTCTAGATTCAACTACTTACAAATAAGAAAGCTGTGTATGGATGCATGTATAAGGGTAATAGGTTGTAGAAGTCACATGAAAATTTCAGGTGAGAGTTGAGATGAGTAACCAATTTTGTAAATAAGTATCTCACAATTCTAGCTCACTTTTATTTTAGAAGTAAAAATAACTATCACAGTTGTGAAGAAGAAATTGGGAAATTGGGAAGGGAGTAACATGTGTGTGAATTAATTCAGCATGAACAAATAATATCAACACATTGGGTCAACCCAGCTGATGTGGTAAAATTGAGAGTTGTAGTTGTGTTTTAGCTTGGGCCAGCTGTACATGAGCTATTCATGAGTATTAGTTGAGTCTTTTAGCCAATAAATAAGTGGTTAGGGCCTGCAGTAATCAGTTTTGATCATTTGAGATTGTAATTGTCAGAGCTCAAGCTCCTGTACCGTAAACTTGGGGATTTCTCTCTAATACATTCAATTGCATCATTTGGTATCAAAGCTCTAGGTTTTGATTCTTCCTTCCTATTTGTTGCTTCACTTGCATGTATAGAGTATATCAGCTTCACAATTGATAAGAGGGGCAGGAATATACCGTTGGAAGTATTTATACTATGATAAAGCATTGAATAAAAAATAAAGGGCAGGAATATTTTTGGTAGTTGTATGGAAGGGGGAAGATTGGGGGTTGGACATCATGTCCCGAGCATAAAATGAACACAAACAAGGGTTAAAAGGGAATGGAGCCATAAGAAAAAATATGTGGGGCCCATAAGATAACAAACCGAGCCATTCCTATTTGTTGCATAAGAATTTTTTTTTCTGACTCAACAAGGAAATAATGTTATATTCTCCATTCTTTGATTGTACATACACCACAGCAAAGCTATTGCATATAGTGCATGTGCATCTAATATTCTATTAGCTGTTCAAACCCGAAGTTCAAAATATGGATACAGTTACATTGGATAAGTAACAAGAGTGACTTGCATGGCAACATTAAAGTCGACTAAGGAGAAAATAAAAGGTTCCATGGAAGGCTCTAGTTAAAGCCTTTCAACGAGATGGAGTGCATGTGTGAGATTGTGATACAGATCCATAAGAGTATCATGATATAGGGACTAAGACATACCTATACGCCACAGGATCAAATGGATGAAAAATGTTGAACATTTGGCGACAAGCTGGCATCTCTTCACATATATTTTGCTGCTGCCAATATTCTTGCCCTTTGCCTAGAGTTCAAAAGGAAAAGGTGCAAGTAAATGAATGACCGACTACAACTAGAGATGATAAGCTTCAAAGTTGGACAATTGTTAAAGAAACAATAAAAGAGTACTGCCAGGGTTTACAACTTTATTTGCCTATAAAGTTGATAAGCTGTGAAAACAATATCCCAAAAGAACACCATTAGCAAACGAGATATCAGGATACATCAAGAATATGATTATGTTATATAAGCATCCCTTTGATTAAAAGATCTGCATTACAAAAACATGAGATACAGACACAAAACAACATGGAAATGCAGGAAAATTCTAGAAAAGATACGTGGACATGGATTAAATCAACATGTATTTTTATGTATATGCATTATTATAATTATTAGTATTATTTGATAACTCTACATATATTTATATGATAAAAGGATGTCATTACTTACTGATCCATATTTACATCAACAAATGCTTATACTGTATAAAATATTTTTCTACTAATCTCTCTTTCTTTTTTTTTTCCCCACTTCTTTGTCATATATTCTTTTCATGCATTGAAAAGTGACCGTCGGTTGCTTGAATTGCGATGGTGATACTTCCAAAAGAAAAAAAAAAAAAATTGGTACAAAATTAGCAGCCTATAGATTTCTTTCCATCTCAAGTCAAAAGTGTTCAGGAAACTTAAGTTGTAGGTTATGAGTCCAAGAAGTATCAACCAAGTGTCAGGTATAGTCAAGTTTATTTCTTAATTTCTGGACACATTCAATAAGCACTGGACATGTCTACAAGTGGCAAGAAGTGTCAGTACCACACGTGCTCTGACAGGGATACAGCTTGTGTGAGAGTGTCAAGAAGTGTTGGCATCCACATGTGATCTGATAGGGACACAGCTCCTATATAGAAATGTCCATGCCACTTAGCCCATGCCCACAAGTATAGAAGTGGAAAAACTATGAAAGAATCTAACAAGGAAAAACAACATCAAGTTGGCAATCAGGAAAAAATTCCAAAATTATTCTAGTCTATTGGTATCAATAATGTTGGAATTTTGATTTTAGGCCACACTGTAAAAGATTTCTTACAAGAAAAATCACAGGACTCATGTCCATGAACAAATAATATCAACACATCAAATTTACACCAATTACAAAATCAAGAAAGCGTTAATTATTACCAATACCAATACGAATATTGCGGAGGGCAAGAAAAACACCAAGGGGAGATCCAACTGCAAAAAAAGTGTCCACCTGATACAAAATTGAGAAAAAATAAGGAACATGTCCCCCAAAGCTTAAGATTACAAATTTACAATAAGGAAAAATATTACCTTGAATTCTAACTTCGTATATTTTATACAAGGAGTATAAATCTTCGATGTATCATTTTGTCCAGGTGGAAGTTTTCCAGAAATTGGTTCATTTATAAAAGTTTTGGCCACTGCCTCATTTCCTGTTCATATTATACATTAAATCCCATATTCCATAACAACAAATAAAAATTCATTCCATCCACAAGAACCATAACAAAAACTGTAGAAAGCATAAAAAAGGGGAGAAGAAGAACCACAATTATCTTAAAGCCACCTTCTGAATGTACCTTTAGCACCGCACTGAGATTCCAATTCTGTGTTCCTTGCTTTTAGGGAATCTATCTGTCAAAGTAGAAGTTTATTCAATAGAAGAAAAAAATATCCAGAAATTAATGCAGCAAAGTTACTGATACAACCTCTTCTTTCAGCAGTTTTATTTCTTTTTCTTTGTCACTCTCAGACACTCCCTCAGACAGTTTCCCTGAATCGGCCACAGGGACTGCACAGTTCATGCTTGAGGCTTCACTAAAGTCTTCCCCTTTGCAAGAAAGCATGCTGCTACAATCAGAAACCTGTTGCTTAGGGTCCATGGCCCTCAAAGAATGTTCATCTAAATCTAATGTGACTGAAAAACCAACAGGAACAGAAGAATCTTCTTCTTGTTCTTTCTCCAGGACTGGTGAAGTTTTTAGTTGTTCACTCATGTTGTCTTCTTTGATGGGGACTTCCATGCCCATAGTTTCATTATTTACTGAGAAGTTCTTGTCCTGACAGGACGTGAAGTTGCATTCAGAAGATTGGCTGTTCATAATAGGGGAAGATTCTTCATTTTGTTCCTTGTACATCCGGTCCATTGGAAATGGGGAGGACAAATTCTCTTGATGGCAAAGAATGTCATATGAGAGGACACTTCCCAAAGAGTGACCATACAAGGAAACCTACAAAAAGCGTAGCACAAGCAAAGAATTTCAACAGTAATCACAAACTTGAATAATTAAAACCTAACCAAGGAAAGAAGTGAATGTTCAACCCGTCACGCACCTTTCCATCATAACATGGATTCCTCTTCAGGAACTTCAAATATAATCGGTTTAACTGGTTGGAGAGCTGGAGAGGAATCATCTAGTATGAGTCTGAACACATTGCTACTTCTAATCTTACATATCTTGAATTAAGTATTGTTGTATGTCATATTTTAGAAAAGTAAGAAAGTAACGCTCATGACATGTCTACAAGAGAAACTATGATGAACTGATCTCTAAGGCACAATAAGGGACTGTTCTTATCCTACATAAATGACTAAATGAGAATTCCATCAGCCAACTTCTTGTAAGAGAGAGAATATTCGAAGGAGGCAAAAGCAACCGAAAAGAAGCACAGATCAATAGCTCTGCATGGATGCATGTGGGTGGAATAGATTGATTGAATTTTTTCCCGCTATTCAGACTGGTTATACCCCAAACAAACAGGAGTACTTCAGGTTTTGTTCAGTTAGGCCTTTGGTTCATTCCAGTTTGGGGTGGTATGAGCTCATGACAGAATTTATGAACTTATTTGGCTCGAGATGGTTCTTAAAGATCTTGGCTTCACTAAAAAAGAGTCAATGAGGTTGTATTGTGATAACGGGGCAGGTATTAATATTGCTCATAATCCCATTCAACATGATCAAACTAAACATATTAACATTTTTTTTTTTTTGGGATAAATAAGCAGACTTTATTGAAGAAGCTTCAAGACGATACAAAGAATACAAAAACGAACCTAACAGTTATCAGCAAACAAACCAAAACAGCACTAAACATCAAGACAAAACAAACAAAATAGCTACTAAATCAAATCCTCTACAAAATCAACAAAAGTCAAAACATTCGGGTCCACTGTCAAAGATATCCAACTATGCAGCACAATGAACAAACGCCGTTCCAACCATACCACCGAACGCATCTCCTCCAAAAAAACTCACCTATTATGCTCCAACCAAACTAGCCACATTAGACAATGGCCAGCCAACTTCCATGCCTTCCGACGTCTCTTCCCAACCCTTTCCCCAGCCCAACTTTGTAACACCGCCCTCACTGTCCCTAATTGAACCCAAGCCAAACCGAAGATAGCAACAATAAACATCCAAAGACGTGAAGCAACCGAACAGCAAATAAGCAAGTGGCCCACTGTCTCAGCATCCCCACAACACATGAAATACCAGTTCACTAAAATATGCCCACGACGAACCAAATTATCAATTGTTAAAATACGCTCTAATGCTGCTGTCCACACAAAGAAAGCAACTTTGGACGGACAACCCACCACCCAAACACTCTTCCATGGGAACGGCACCCCATCCCTTCCCGTACACATATGGTAAAAAGAAGACGCAGAAAATACCCCTTTGAACTTCAGACAATCCCATCTCAAAGAATCCTCCCCAACGCGCCCAAACTAGAGTCCGTACAAAAAGCCCAACAATGCCAGCAATTTGCCCACCTCCCAATCCTACACTTCACAACGCAACCCAACATTCCACACCACCACGTGGCCTTGTACTTGAGCATAAGAAGCCACCGTCGCCTCCCAATCAATCACAATACAAAAAATCAACGGGAACATCACCTCCAAATTGACATTGATAGGCACTTTTATCAAAGATAAGTTTAAATGTTCTACGTATTTGTACTCCTTATGTGAAGACTAAAGATTAATTTGTTGACATCCTATCAAAGGCAGTATTAAGTAACGTGTTTCATAATATCCTAACCAAATTGGGCATGTGTGACATCTTCGCACCATCTTGCGGAGTGTTGGGATATATGTTTTTTGTGTGGAGGGCATTTTTGTAATATTATTGAAACAAGTACAAATTAGAGTTTCAAGGGAGGGAACCATAACTCTCATTCTTTTCTGGCATCTCTTTCTTTTTGCTCCATCATCTTTTCATATTCTTATTCATGCATGGAAAATCAACTATTTTCAGGCAAATTTATTGATGAAGCACCTACTCAACCAATGATATTCACATTGATTTACATAATCTATACGAGAGTCAATTGAGCTTGCACTATTTTGAATCCAAATCAAGCAATTAGTGAAAATTAAGTTCCTAAAATCAATAGAAAAGTCTAGAATCTCAATTGAGCTACAAAACAACAAACTACCACCTAGTGTCTACAATTCAAATGCTATATTCAACATTTTAGAACACATAAACAGGCTATGTTGAACAGGAATGGGAATAAAAAATAAAAAGGAAAGGAAAATTGAAAGCTTACTAAGACATAGTATATAATACCGAATTGATAATATCTTGGCAATAGATAGGGCTCATGTAGTACAATATATCATGAGCAGTAGCGCTCAACATCACACGCAGACCTCGCACACCATCTAAAGTTAATTTTTCAACTGCCGATTCACCACTTAGCTTCAAGCCCCTCCTCCACTAGACAACATACAAGCAATAGTGAGTAGCAATTTTGAAGCCATTTTTTGAGAAGAGAGAAAAGGTCAGACAAAATGACTTAGGTAAAGACAACAATAAAAAAAAGAAGAAAAAAAACCCCCAATATTAGTGCAAAACAAATTAGAAACAACAACATACAAATAAAACAAAATTAATAACTCCGTAATATAACAACCTACAAGAATAATGAAATTATTAGCAAACCATATAGATTATAAGAAGGCTAAAGGATTTTTAAGACAACCTGAGCTAAAAAAACAATTTACAATCAAACATGTAATGACTTACAAATTTATGTGTACAAATTTGAATATATGGAAATAAGTTTACATTTTATATTCAATCACTGCAAAGTTCATTTGATAGTGGCTGACTTGGTAGTGAATTAGTAGTATTAACAAGATTGATTGGATAAGGAGTTGGGTAGTGCAGAGGAAAATGTGCTCCACAATTTTAGGAAGGTAAATGTTCCCAGCAAGGAAAGAAGTTGGGCCACGCCGGCGGATTCTTTTCCTCGGCGGCCAGTTGTTCAGGTTTGAGGAGGCGTCGGAGGGAGTGGATAGGAAATGCCGGATATCCATTGTCGAGAGGGAGGAGGGGTTTTTTCGGGCGGTGGTACTAAATGGCTCGGAAACTCGTTGGATTGTGGCCAGAATGAAGTTAGCATCTAAGGAACCCAGTCGCCTAAAGTTTTGGGGTCATCTCAGTGGGGGTAGTTGGACTAAAGCAGTCTGGGTACGAGACGAGGAAGGAGGGAGGTCGTCGTTTCAAGTAGTCGTCACCACAGGGAAGCAGCGACAACAAATTTACATACCTGTATTTGCGTTCGGTGATGGCTGGGAAGGGGTGGCGCTGGTTATCGACAGCTTTGGGTTGAACGATGAGAAGGTTCCGTGACCCATTGGGTCCAGGAAGGTAATGTCCAACTCTAGGACAATGTTTTCAGCCATTGAGCGTGACTCTGAAAGGGTTGTTAGCTCTTAGGTGGATGTGGATTGGTTCCGGATCTTGGATAGATCGCTAGTGGGCAAGCTAGGGGGGTTGGGTGGCAAAGGCTTGAGTTTTGCAACTATCTCTGACTGGTTTGGACGTTGGTGGCAGCATTCGAGGAAAGTGGAGGTGCAACCACTGGGAGATACAGCTTTCTTGTTTGTTTTGCCAACCAAAAGTGAGGCGGAGGCGTTGTTACGATGGCGGTGGACAGTGGAGGGGTGTGATCTACTGTTGGAGTGGTGTTTAACACTGGCTCTCTGTATCTCAGGGAACAAATTGATGCCAGAGAAGAGTGTGTGGATTCGGGTGATGGGTTTGCCTATTCATCTCCGTGGGGACAAGGTGTACCGTATTATCGACGATCGGTGTGGTGGCTTTGTCGAGGTGGATGAGTCGTCGGTGGATCTGGGTTCAATTCGGATACGTGTGCGATGCTCAGAGAATACGCTACCGCGAGTCTCCCTCCAATGGGGGATGTGGCAATTTTCGCTGCCAGTGTGGGTAAAGGCAGATCCGGTGGTGGAGCTATGTTCGCCAACAACCAAGAAAGCGGGTATCTGGGTTGTACTAGGCAATGGGGGATTTTGGGCAATTAGATCGGGGATTTCAGCCGAGAATTGGGGTGAATGAATATTTACATAGATTTAGGAGAGATGAGAGACCCATGGGTTTCCGGGGCAACACCACCCAGCCTGTAGGGGTGGAGGTGGCCCACCAAAGGGGGTCGGGGGGGGGGGCGGGGGACAAATAGACTGGAGACAGGCCCAGGAAAATCATAAAGGAGAGGTGGGCCCACGTAAGTGGGCTGTGATAAAAAATAAGGGGACTCAATTGGGGGGCAGGAAGTTAAGGGGGTGGGCTTCTTAGCTGGTCATTCAAGCCGAAAATGGGGTGGTCATTCAAGCCTAAATGGGGGTGGTCATTCAAGCCCAGTTATTTCATATCGGCCCATGTTATTCCAAAGTCGGTGGCGCAACAGTTGGAGAAGCTTCAGAGGGACTTCTTGTGGGGCAGTGGCAGAGATGATTTTAGGTATCATTTGGTTGATTGGGAACAGATTTGTCAACCCAAGCAAGGTAGAGGGCTGGAGGTGCAGAGGTTGGTGACTTTCAATCGAACCTTGTTAGGAAAGTGGTTATGGCGCTTTGCTTTGGAGCCTCACAGATTGTGGCTGCAGGTGGTGGCTTCTAAATATGGGGTGGGCAAAGGGGGCTGGGTCTTGTACTTATGGGTGTGGGTTATGGAAAGGGATTTGGATGGGGAGGGTGGAGTTTTAGTAGTGGGTAGGATTTAAGGTGGGGATTGGGATTAGGGTGAGATTCTAGAAAGATAAGTGGTGTGGGGAGTTTGTGTTGGAGACCCGTTTCCCTATGATTTTTAATATTGCGATGGATCAGGAAGCTTCGGTGGCTTCTTATTTGGGTGGTGGGGGTGTGGTGGTTTAAGATATTCAATTACGACGGGAGGTTCAAGATTGGGAGGTTATTCAGTTGGTGGAGATGTGGGGTTTTTTATATGGATTGGGGAGTGTTGGGGTCGGCCAAGATGTCTTGGTGTGGAATGGGGTGGGGGCAAAGGGATGGTTCACAGTAGCATCTTTTTATTGGGGGTTGATGGGGGATGGTGGTAGGGTCTTTCCTTGGACAAGTATTTGGGTTTCGGGGGTTCCGACTAAGGTTGCCTTTTTCATGTGGACGGCAGCCTTGGGTCGGAATCTCACATTGGATAATTTGATACGGTGGGGGCACATCCTAGTGAACCGGTGTTGTATGTGATGTGAGGATGCGGAGACAGTGGATCATTTGTTTCTTCATTGCTCGGTGACTTTGTATTTGTAGGGTTTTGTCTGCTCACTCTTTAGGGTTGATTGGGTTTAACCACAGGGAGTGTTGGATTTCCTTTGGGTGTGGCGAGGCGTTCGTCTAGGGCGGCGGCGGCGGGGGGGCTTGGTCATTGGTACCGTTCCGTTTGATGTGGCTACTTTAGTTGGAGCGGAATAGATGTACCTTTTCAGAGGTTTTTCATGGGGTTTCTTGGTTACAGAATCGTCTTCTTGTAGTTATGTATAGTTGGTTGGAGGGTAGGGTAGATCCGGATTTATTTGTGTTTCTAGATTTTTTAGATGAGGTGATTGGTTAGCCCTTGTCTTTTTTGGTTCCCAATTTGGGGTAGTTTTCTTGTATTAGTTGCATCATCTTTTGATGCTTTCCTAATAATATTTGCTTATTTATCAAAAAAAAAATCTGAATATATGGAAATGCTGTGAAATTTCAAGTAGGTTCACTAACAAAAGGTATGCCCAGTCTATTCTAAAACAAATTGTGTCTACCCCACTGAAATCCAACCTTGATATTTTACCCAAGCTCATTTAAAATATTTGTTCAATTTTTTTTTTTTTTTTTTTTTGAACTGCAACAAATGATTGCATACCAAGCTTCTTTTTCTTTTTTTCTTTTTTCTCAATATTTTCTCAATTGATTCATAGAGTAAATCATCCATAGAGATAAATAGATCCCACATTGCATACCAACATTTAACTAGAACAGAGTTAGAAACTGCATAAATGACCTTCAGGAAACAACATACAAAGCTAGCACATTTTATGAAACATCATTGAACTTTCATTGTTCCATGTATTAGCTATTCCCTTTGAAATGCCCGAGTATCTACATAGCATCCAAAACTTCATTAAATTATCGTTTTCCTCATGCCTTACCCTTATTAAGAAATTTTCCGGATATTCTAAGTTTTCAAGAACAATACAAATACTTATCTGAAATAAACCAAGAGATCAGCAGTATGGAGCAAGATAAACATGAAAACGGGCAAATCAAGAATTTCACATGGTGCTCACTTAGACCTAGTTTAGTAAAGATTTAGATTAAACCCAAATTCATATGTTGAATCTCCATTCATAAGTTGTTTTAATCATATTATTTATATTTAATCAAGTTTTATTAATCAACGGTAGTCTGAAAATTCTTAGATTTGCTGCAACATAAGCAATAGTAGTGGTTTGTGGGTCTTGTTTTAGGTCAATCTCTGTTATTAGGTCTTTTATAAGTCTTGAATGTTCTTAGCAGTCAAACTGTCATTCTCTGATTTTGCAATAAATTGATTTGTCAGTTTGGCCAGATACAATGGCAGCCTCATATTGGCAGGCCAGAAATGAAAGCAGGAAAGAAAAAAGTTGAATGATGTTTCGACATGGTACAATTTCAAACTCAATTAAATATGACTGAAAATTTTCATAATCCCATTTCACATTGTAAGAAATAATGTATAGAGAAAGAGAGAGAATAAATTGTATGTATTATTATTGATTGATGTAATGTTTGATAGATTACAAGATACATTAATTACAATTCCTATACAATCTATATATAGAAGAAAATGTGGTAGTAGGTGTAGTGGAGGTGATAGTGGGTTAGGTGAAGTGGAGTGTGTAGTGGAGTAGAGGTAGGTGAAGTGGAGTGTGTAGTGGAGTAGGTAAAGATGGGAAATTCTAACACACATTAATCTCATCATAATATCACAAATGTAGAACCAAAAAAATGTCTATGGCGAGAGAATATATTGTCTACCTGGCATGGGATGAAAAGAACTCTTTGACTGCTACATTGGTATGAAGTTAGGTGCCGTTCAGCAAGACTTGCTGTTATATGATGAAAATTACTCACGTCATCTACTAAATTAGATTTCTCCAAACTTTGGCCAATACCATGAACCATAAACACTAAATGTCGAACTGGAACCTATACAATCAACAAAATATTAAATAGTGCAAACTGTGGACTCCATAATAAAAGCTTGTAACAGTCAAATATGAGTAGAGGTTTTTACCAGTTTCCTATTAGTGAATCAAAGTCCTTGTGCAAATAGGAGAATTATAGTAGCAGATAATTATATTCTTCTATCTAATATAGTTCTAAAGAAATTGTGATTGTGTTTAGTGTGACTTGCTAAACCCATGCAAGCCATTGGTCCTCCTTTTATTCACGAGACCTCAAAATAGTTCTCTTGGATTATTGTTCGCTGCACCCATAAAGTAAACTTCTCAGTCCCAAGCATAATACATCAAGCTCAACTCAATCCTGATCCTTTGCCCTACCTATTGGCCTTTAATTTAACCACTAGAACGCTAAATTACTCACCATCTAGACCTTCAAATAGCCGTATTTTTGGAAATTTAGCAGGCTGTCACTCTTGAAGCTGAACCCCTTTCAGTTCTTTTCCTTCTAGAAACCCTAGTAATTATCTTCTAGTACTTCTACCTTTCAAAACTCTGAACTCCATAACCTATCAGTACCCTAAACCCACCACAAATCTAATTGCAGATAGTTTTATCGCTAATCTCCCAAAGTTGTCCTGCATCACCAAATCATTCTCCCTTATCACTAATATCCTAAAGTAGTCCTGCATCACCATCTTAGACTGCTTTCTTGCATTGTTCCATACATTAATAAACTTCTCCCACAAGCTTTTAACATTTAGCAATGCCATAAAGTTCAAGAGGATAAGCTTTGACTTAAATAAGAAAGTTTTTTTGGGAGACTTGCATAAAATATAAAAATATCTGCTATATTAATCTTGCAAATAATTTGCTGAATACAATAAAATGAACAAGTTGTAAAAATGTCTATAAGCAAAACACTATACCTGTGAACAATAATCATCCATTTCTTCCTCCTCCTGCTGACGTAATTCATCCTGATGCAAACAAAACAATTTCAAGTACTAGATCTTGCCTTCTTTTGGCAGTACCGGATGAAAGGGCAATTAAATAGGAACCCTTCTATGCACCAAGGATTATAGCGTTCATTAACTCAAAGTAAAGAATCTACCCTGATGTATTTCAATGCAGAAAAATAGGGGCAGAAAATGAAACATAATGCTCTCGAAACATTTAACTATAAAGTTAGGATAACAATTAAATAATCTTTTTACATAATGATGCCTATATTTATAATAGTTTCATTGGATATGTGAAAAAACAGTAACAAGAAAGTTAAATTTAACCTTAACATGTGCAAACAAACTTCATGCTCACACTTGCTTTATTCTATTGTGCTAATAGAAACAAAAAGCAAGGATTTCCTTGGAAAGCAATGGAAAGTGGTGTTTTGGATAAATATCAGCAGCTGATTTTATTGGCTTTACCCTTACATTTGCATATATTAGACATGTAAAGTAGATAGCTTCCACTGTGCTTATGACTCAACCCCTTTATTTTCATGAAAAATTTTATGTGCGGCCCCTGTTTCTGATGGAATTTTATAGTTTGATTATCAGAGTAATTCCCATATTAGACTATAATCTTTTCAAAAGAGAGAGAATCATATAGCTAAGTAACATGAAAAGTAAAATCTGCCAGTGAGACTTTACAAAGAGTGCAGTCTAGGAATCTAAAAATTTAATCATATTTGTGGAAAAGCAGTGCAGACTGCAAAAGTATGCAGCAAAATTTTGTTTATTCAAGCACTTCTTATATTAAAGAACTTATTAAGAAAGAAAAGAACCTGAGTAAGTTTCAGTGACTGAGATGCAGCATATCCACGCCTTAACATAATGCCACTCCTTCCCAAACTAATCACATTGGAAAACCCAGAGGCATCAATATTTAACCAAGCCTCCCATGTATCATCTTCTCCAGTAAAAAGAGCATGCAGCCCCTGTATTAAAAAAAAACCCAGAAACACAAATACACAAGATATTAATGATCGAAAGAGCGAAAATTTCCTTTATTGTAAAGAACATATTATACCGGGGTGGAGCCTTGCAAATCAACTCGAGCTGCAAAAAGTCCCGATGGCTGAAATGTTCTCCGATTCCAAACCTGAAGGCAATAAGACAAGATCAACCATTTGTTCCCCTTACAATGCAATGAAGGATAGAAAGTACATGAGCCTTAATTATCAAACACAAAGGAAGAAAAAGAAATAAAAATATAATAGATACTGTTGGAATGTGTCCCACTTCGCCTGGAATTGCCTCATCTGTACTGGTTTATAAGGCTCCAGTTTCCCTCTCCTTAATACCTGGGTTTTAAGGAGAAGTGTGGACTGGGCTTTTCAATTGATACAAGTGAAGTCAAAAAATTAGAAACTCATCCTGTGGACTATAAGAATAAATAAATACTGTTTCAGACCTTGCTGGAATACGCCAATTCTAACTGTTCACTGACATTTTCACGGACTGGAAGCCAATCGATGCCCTCTTTACGAGCAAACCAGTGACCTCTTAAAACACGTCGATTTTCTCCATTCCAGTAAACAGGAAAGCAATGTCTCTTCTTTAAATCTACCTGCAGTGGTGATATCATTTATAAAGGTGAAGCATTCAAAAAACAGAAAATTCTAAAAAGTAATGACCTAGTATTAGTATTTTCATGCGGCATCAAATTCTATATCCATAGAATGGAAACTAGAAAATGAAAGGGGCAAGGAATCAACTCTGAGAGCACATTCCCTTTTTTACATTTATTTTGATAAGAAGATTCCAAAATCATAATTCTTGAATGTGCATGCTAGGAAAATAACAGGAACGGTGACAAGAAGATAAAACAGAAAGATGAAAAATGAAATGAATTAACATAATTGACAGCAGACTTATCGTTGAATTTCTCAGGGAAGAAGACACAAGCCATAATGCACCACTTCACAACATGTAATAAATCTAAATGATGATGTCAAAAACAACCAACAATTCAGGGATTTGCCCAAATGTCAACTTGAAACCACTAGCTAAAACAACAATGTAGCACCACTAATCTGGGAGGGGATGGCCAATCAAAACAGCATAATTTGACTGAATCTGATAGCTAGATGGGAACACGTCTTGGCATAAATTTTGGCAAGAAGACCCAAAAGGATCCTAGGCAGGGCTGTATCTGTTCAGGGTGCTCCTCAGCAGCAAATTCTATTAGAACATTTATAAGTAAGCATCAGTTTAAGGAAATACAGGTTGATCAATGGGCTAGTCTGTCTCACTGACCAAAATTTACCAATACTTATAGGTACATTGACACTAATAAAAACCTTTTCAAACCATCTTCTGCATTGAACAAACACTTAATGGATGCCTAAATCACAGTTACATCAAGAATAATAAAAATATTTTCCAACTGTCTTCTGCATTGAACAAAAAACCTAATGTACGTACGACTACTTCACAGGTATATTGAGGCTAAATAATAGAAAATAACTTTCACTTAACACTCTGAACACTCCTGTCCCTTTACATAGCAAGCCAGGACCAACAGCATAACTTAGAACCATTCATAAAAGTACAATAGGGCACAATACAATAAACCGTACAAAAATGAGCAGAAAACAAAGAACAATTATAAACATTATGATGCATGATTTGACAACTATACTTGCTGGTATTCAAGGTGGCATTAACACTAATTGAAGTTATTGAAATTTGATGAAATCCATATGCATATTTTAAATCAATTTCTTCACAACTGTCATGTATATCATTAACAAGAAGAGGGTGTAATACGGAAAGAACAGAACAGATACCTCATACAAACCTCCCTTCACAGGGACACCAACTCTATCTTCTTCCATTGCATATCGTTGGGCTGATTGGGCACTTTCTAAAGAAGATGCTTTTGATTGTGGATTCAATTTAGCACTAGAACTACGACAGCCCTTGGGACCTTCACTACATTCTGCATACTCCATCCACCAACTAGAAAGCAACTCTTCCTCTCTCTGCAGATGCATATTGAACAAACAAAGACGTATCAATATCATTGTCATGTATATATTGAACTAAACCATTTATGTCACTTGAGATAAATGGACTTGTTTCTCTCAATTATACCTTTTGGTTCCTTTGTATTTGATGTGGATTAATTCAGGAAAGCATAATTGGAGGACTTTTGAAGGATGGAAGAACCCCTTTTTGAAGCAGAAAAGTAAAATTTTGACCCTTTTACATAGTTGGCTCTCGGGTGTTGTTTACCCCCTCGGACCAATTTTTAGATTTTGTAGAGGCATTTGACTATAAAACAGCGGTATTGGAAATTTCAGTGCTTGGTTTTATTTTTTCTAGTGTGTGCAGGTGGCACCCCCCTTGCCTTGGTGCTATTTATCAATAAACTTTTACTCGTCAAAAGAAAAAAAGAAAAAAGAAACAAGTTGATAAAACTCGATGGGTTTCTGAACATTTATCAGATACTGACCAATATACTCCATGAAGGAGATCCTGCCACCTAAGATGAATGAGAATTAGAGAAGGACAACATTAAGTAGGTAACCAACATAATCAGGAGTCAGATTAGATGACCTGCAAAAAGGAAGCCTCTATTGCGAGTGAATCCCTCATACCAAATCGAAAATAATCACCCTTTCCCACAATTTCAGTGCGAGGGACTGCGGCAGCCAGCTCTGCACACAAAGGCAACAAGATGACATTGGGATACAGAGATGCACTAAAAAATCTAATGCAATGTGTTGGAAATCTTTAAACAAAGCAGACAACGAATGATGCAACCCAGCAATGAATTGATTATTTTCTCAATAAACTAACACAAGTAGAAAACAAAATATATATGTAAGAGGTGTAATCCTTTAATGTAATGGTTTCAGCCTGATGCTGATGCTGTCTCAAAGAATGTCAAGGATCAAATTTGGTCGGGGATTTGGAGAGAGATTTGAAAATGAGAAGGAAAAGGGGCATAAGACATAGATATATTTTATTTTCATTTTACCTGCATATTTTTTTTTTTCCTTTTCAAATTTCTTCCCAAATCTTCCAACCGAAACACAGTAATAGTTGCAATTCTATTCCTTGAGTCTTTGCCTTGATCAGCTGCTATGAAACATTTTATACATGAATACAAATATTTTATACTAATTGATGATTAACATTCATAATGTATGCTTGATGATTAAATTGAGGTCATAAATTATTCGCACCATTGTCTGCCAAGGGAAGCTTGCAAAAATACCAACGAACATCACCGCCATCAGACGGACTTGTAGTCTGCGCGAGATACTTGGGGCGACCCTCACATTGCTCGATCTCATCCACCAATCTCCTTATGTTTGTCGGAGTGTTCTTCAACATATCAGAGGAAGTCTCTTCATTCTTCCCATGAGAATCAGTTGCGTCAGGAACAGATAACCACCCATCATCCCCTTGCCCGCGTTTTCTTCTACTTTCACCCATTTTCTCAATCTGTTGTTGACACGCCATTCAACCATTCATTTCTGAAGCAAATCAAATGGTATGGTATGGTATGGAGGAGGATTGATTTGATTCAATTAAATTAAATTATGATCTTGGAAATATAATCTTGCATAGGAATTTTCACATGAATAAATTGTTGCACGCCCATCCCATCGTATTATACGCCATTGTTCGGGGGAGGAAGCTTCGTCATAGATAGCTCTAACTCCAGAATCTTACATATATTACACCGAAGCAACCGTAAAAATAGGTTTCGTTTGGGTCAAGATAATCATTTTTTTAAAAAAAAATATTTTTAAGTTCAATAAATTAATAAAAATGATATTAAAACATTAGAATAAATGTAAAAATATAATACATATTTTAGTATATATTTTTTCAACTAATAAATTATTAATAAAAATTAAATTAAATATTATATAAATTAAAGTTTTAAAAGAGTCAATGTAATTATGTTAAATTTATAAAACTTGTTGTATATATAATTTTCAAACTTTACCATTTTTTCTTTTATAATTTATTATTCATAATATTTAATTCATTAATTATGCTTTTGTTAATAAAATATGATCAATTAATTGAAGATTAAAATTAATAATTTTGAGATAATTATTAATTTTTTAATGTTTCAATTTCGTTATTCTATATAAATTGAGAGTTGGTTTGAGATGAATTAAAAAAAATAACAAAAAGTAATTAGAAAGTTAAAAAGTTAAAGTTTTTTTTTTATTTTTTTACTTATATATATATACAGGTAAAAAATAAAAAAAACAGCTAAAATATATTAATTTTTTTAATTTATATTTTAATCAAAAAATTAAAAATTTATTAAAATAACATATTCTCAAGCTAACCCTAAATGCTAATATTAATAATTTTGAAACATTTTCTAACATTTTAAGACGTAAAAATTAACAAAAAAAATTTAGAGGTGAGCACTAAATTAAAATTAAATTTAAAATGGAATGATCAAATTATTCAAACTATAAGATAAAAAGTGTAATTCATTCAATTTCTAACTCGTATTTCCCTTTTCTAAAAAAAATGAATCTATTTTCTACCAGTAATACTACACACATCAATTATATACTAACTAATATAACGATATAATTATAATATTATTATTTTAAAATTATAATCTCATCCATTACGTAAACTATAAAAGCTTAAATCTATAAAATTATATTTCCACAGAGTATAATAGGTCTTATTTTCTTGCTGAGAAGGTTGCGTTACTTTGCTTCTCTTTCCAAACGAAACAGAGTGTGGCTTTGACGAGGAAGAAAAAAAAAATGTAAGGATGGTCTAATTCTGAGAGAACGAGCTCTGACAAATTGAAGATGCTCGAGTTCAAACTTGGTCAACGAGTCCACTCGGGAGGAGATTGCCGGCGAATCGAGACAGTGAAGTACATAGGAGCAGTGGAAGGCTACTCTAGGTGTTGGATTGGCGTCTATTGGGACAATGGCGATGGAAACACACAATGGCTCCATCAATGGGGTTTGCTATTTTCTCTCCAAATCTCAGAAATCAACGTCCTTTGTTCGCCCCCACAATTTGAGCACTGAGATCACTTTTTTGCAAACTCTTGACATTAGATACATGACCATTTCCACTAAAGAAGAGGAAGGTATCTAATTAATTCAAATTCTTGTACATTTAGGACCCGTTTGTTTTGGGAGATAGAATGGATGGGATTGATAATAAGGGGATTAATAGTGAGGGGATTGTTAGTGAGGGGATTGATAGTGAGGGGATTAATAATGAAGAATTGTTAAATTATTTTTATATAAAATAATAAAACAAATAAAAAAATATAAAAAATTAAACATTATATTAAAAAAAAAATTCCCAATATATAAAAAATAAAAAAAATTTCTAATCCCCTCACTATTTTCTAATACCATCTCTACCTCCTCCTTATCAATCCCCCTTCCAAGGGTATTAGCAATACCAAGGGACTAATAGTCCCAACCCTTTCTCTGCAAACAAACAGGGGCTTTGGTAATACCTTGGTATTACTAGTCCTAATACCCTCTCTATAGCCCAAAACAAACGGGGCCTTATATCTTCTTATATCTATATCTGTTGAGTTCGGTTTATGAATGTTGCACTTTGTTTCTTTTAGATGTGATGTGAGGATGGGAGTAAGTCATATTGATTTACTCTCAATTCTAGTTACTAAGGGATTGTTTGGGGTGTCTTAAATAAGTGTATTTTTTGTTTTTTTTGACTAAAAAATTGAGGAAAAAAATATAGATGTTTGAGTTAATTTTTTGACTTTTTTATGAAAAAATATGTATCAAAAAATTGATTTGTAGGTGTGTAAGAAAAAAATAGGATTGAGAGTTGTGCAGTCGTAATTGTTGACTTTTGATGAATAGTGTTAACTTTTTAATTTTTTGAGTAACTTTTTGACTTTTTCTTATTTTTCCAAACTTGACCTAAGCCACAACACCTAGTGAATCCACGCAAGTGTATGGACTTTTTGGTGCTGATTTGGTGTCAACAAAATCAAAGTTAAAATCAAAGTAAGATTAAAAAAACAAACAAAGCCTCCGTTTGGAAAGTGGGTTGGCTTTTTAACTTTTTTGACTGTTTTAGCCTGGGCTAAAAAGTTTGGTTTGAGAAGGACTTTTTGGTTTTTTTTATTTTTTTTGTGAGAGAAGAATGTGATGATTATGGGTTGGATGTGATATTTTATTTTTTGTGGCTAAAATAGTCTATTTTGTCTTTTGTGACTAAAATAGCCAAAAAAATCCCGTTTAACTCTTGCCAAACGGAGCCAAAGTAATGTCACATGTTCTACTAAAAAAAGTTAACAGAACTGGACAAAGGATGGAAATTGAAATCTTATTGAAATTTTAAAGTTTAAATTAATATAATTGAAATCCTGAGTTTAATTTGAAAGGAATGCTCACCATCCAAAATCAAATTTTGAAATTTGAAAGTCTCGCACGTGCGAATAACACACTAAAGTGAACAATTTTTTGTTTTGAATTTTCGGTTGTCGTATAAAGTACCGCCCAAATTTCATTTTGAAAATTTGCCAATTCGCTTCTCTCAAAGCTTTCTCTCTCATTACCTTCAATCTTCACAGAGACATGTGCAGAGTAGAGCCACCCCATCATCATCATCATCATGCCCCCAAACCCTAGCATTTTCAAGTTAACAAAATACCCATTATCTTCTTCGTTGTTTACTGATCTGGGTTTTCTTGATTTCATCGGCAAATCTGGAATCTGGTAACTGGGTTTGTGAAAAATGATGTTTTCACATCTGCGTCGCCGACAATTCCCAGTTTGCGTAAAAAATTCCATCTGGGTCGCCGGAGAATTGACATTTTCCTGGCAAGAAATTGAAACTTAGCATTTGGGTACCTTTCATTTTCATTGTTGAATGCTTGATCTAACTATTTTAACAATTTATTTGATTTTTCAGTTGAAGATTGATACAATGCCGGAGTCAAGAGACAGATTATCGAGGCCTGACGACATTACAGTGTTGTTTGCTCGTCGGCGGCAATCGATTGGAGGCATAGCGATCCTACTTGATGAACCAGAAGAGGTGGGTTCTGGAACTCCCTTCCGGCGGGGAGCGACGGCGATGACGGGTACACGTGGAGCGATGGGATCGGCTGCTACACGAGGTGGTGGTGTCGGTCGAGAGAACACGCCTTTGGGAAGAGTTCGGCGAGGCCGAGGACGAGGAGGACGTGGTAGTGTGTTACCTTCTTGGTACCCTAGAACGCCTCTTCGCGACATCACTGCGGTCGTGCGGGTAACGATTCTTGGTACCCTAAAAAACCATCTTTGGGGTATGGAATGACAACAATGTTGTGTTTGGCACGTTAATATTTGGAGCACAGATCCCCTCCTTGAGCCCCCTCCTTCATTCCCTCCTTGCAGGGGCCTTCGGGTCCACTTTGAGGCCCAGTTTTGATAATCCGAACCATTCATATTTTTAGATTTATTCAGTATATTATACCTGTAAAAAATCAAGTTGATCGGATATCAAAAAGTATGCGTTCAGAAAATTGGGACTACAAATGTGTTTGGCACGTTAATATTTGGTACAGTGGTGCTACATCCTATTAAAAAGGGATCACTGAAAATTAAAACAAAAAAAAAAAAGAAGAAGTAAAACATCACATCAATTGGGGTTACAGTATTTTTAGAACTCTTAGAGCTCTTAAACAATTTTCTATTTGGTAAACAAAAATGCTTTAGACCACTAATTAGTGGTGGCTCTAATGATGTGGCAGTGGATCCACTGCCACATGTGTTTTGTGTCTTGATTTTTTTTTTCTTTTTTTTTTCAATTGCCACCTCACTAGTGATGGTATTAATAATGATAAATTAATGATCTATAGCATTGCTCTTTGTTAAATGTTAGACAATATTTTTCACCGGGGGACAAAAATTGATAAGTTTGAAGTATATATACATTAAAGTGAATTAAACTATTTATGTTTAGAACTGAAAAACTATGATGACAAATTATATTATATAATATTGTTTTAGTAAATATTTGTATTTAAAAACTACTATAGACAAATTACCTATTTCCTTTTTTTAGGCCTGATTTGACATCTTCAAAATAAAGTTAGGTTTGGCATAATCTATATAATCCATCTTTGTATCTTTTTATCCTTTTTTCATCACATCACCTCTCTATTTTTTTGTACATCTTTTCGTAAAAAGACAAAAAGTACACTTTTTTAGTTGTCTCTACTTGACTTTGGTGAGGACAAATTACACAAGCGAAGGAAAGCTTAAAGACGGTGTTGTTCGGTTTGTGGGGGTCATTACGGGTTTCGTTTTGATAATCTGAATCATTGAATATGTAGAATTCGTCGAGTAGTATATGTTTATAAAAAATCACGTTAGTCAGATATCGCTAATTATATGATCAAATTTGTTTTGTATAAAAAAATAAATGATGTTAGTTAATGATTGAAAAAAAAACTAATCTGATAAAATAGTTATCGATATTCGATCAATGTAGTTTTTATAAGTTTATAATACTCGACGAGTTCTACACATTGAACGGTTCCGATTAGTAAAATGGGACTCCTGGTGGGCCCGCACGGGCCGAACAACATCGTTTAATTTAATGCCTGAAAAGGAGAGAATCATCTCCTATCCTACACTCTGCACACGTTGCCCCTTATGCCTTACGACTGTACAGCCCAAGGTTTTAAAAAGTGATCGCAACCGTTACGTAACGCCATTACGTAACAGTTGTGGTAGTTACCGCCACCCGTTACGGCCGCTTTTGCAGTGTGATTGAGATTCACAGGTGTTTTGGCCGTAGCGGCTGCTATAGCGGTCGTAACGGTGTCGTAACGGCCGTAACAGCCTGTTACGCACCGTTATGTAACGGTTCCGAATTGCTTCTTTTAAAAAAAAAAAACTCAAACAAAAAAAAAGTTGAAAATGGGAGAAGAGAGATAGAGAGAGAAGAGGGAAGATGGAGAACAAGAGATAGAGAGAGAGAGAAGGAAAGATGAAGAACATGTTATTGATTTGTTAAAGCTGTAAGATCTATACTATTCTATTCAGTTGTTATCACTCAACCATTTTGTTTGTGTGTGTCTGTCTATATATTGTTTGAAAATAATAATAATAATAATAATAATAATAAGTGTAGTCATTATCTATTTGGTTTGATTAATATGTATATATATATATATATATATATATTTAGGCTTTTATTTATTCTCTTACTTTTGTCATTGTTTATCTTATATATAATAGGTAGTGATTGATTTTTTGTATAATATAAAGTCATTAATTATTAAAATAAAATATAAAAAACTCAGTTTATAATAATTTAAAAATATGAAATATATTAGATCAAGCTTAAAAATTTATAAAAATTGATCAATATTTATTTTAAAACCCAATAAATATGATTATGGAAAAAAAAATATGCGTATCGGTAAATTTTTTTTCAAATTGTGCAAAAAATAAAAAAATTCACGGTTCTGGTTACCGCAACCATTACGCTACGGCCTTTACATCCTGCAATCGCAATCGTGCCACCGCTACCGTTACGACGACCGCAATCGCTTTTCAGAACCTTGGTATGGCCATTCCATCACAATCTTCTCCTATACACAAATTTATACAATTTTTTAATACATATTTTTCTGTAAAAAGTTATCCCAAACAATTTTTTTTTTCTTTTAACTTTTTAATCTAAAAAGTCAAAAAGTACACTTATTTAGGACATCTCAAAACATTCCTTTAATTATTTTATAATGATGGAAACATTTAAAAGTAATTTTTTCCAAGAAAAAAAATTGACAAATAAAAATTAGAATGGTAGAGAGGACAAATCTCAGAACACAAACAATTCTTCTTATTTGGAGATTGATTAAAATAATTAAAAAAATCATTATAAATCTTCATATCACTTTTTTTTTTTTACAAGTTTTTATAAAAAATTAAATATTCATTTATGTTTTGATTTATTTCCATTAATGTTGTCATTTTGGTGTTTTTAGTTTGATAATGTGCAGGGTTGCGATGAATTTCGGCTCAGTTTAACTCATTTTTTGTTGGATATGATTCATTTGAGGTCATTTAGGTCAGGTTTGTAAAATCTCAAAAAAATTCAAAAAGTCAAAAAGTAATTACTATTAACAAATAAAAAATATTAAAAATTTCTTTTATACATTTTTATAATACAAAATTTTGAATTACACTATCAGTCGTACTGCCCCAGCAGGAAGGCATGTCATATATTTTTGGGCAAAAAAAAAAAATTACATATGTAAAATCACAAAATTTGATGGTAATGTTGGGCCCTTGGTTCCCACTAAGGGTTCCGTTTTAATAATTCGAACCGTTCAATACGTACAACTTGTTGACTACTATATGTCTATGAAAAATCACGTCGATCGGATATTGTTAACTATATGATCAAATCAGTTTTGTATAAACAAAACGAAAGGTGTGATATGTAACTGTTGAACAAAAACTAATTCGATCATATAACTATCGATATCCGATCAACGTAATTTTTTATGAACATATAATACTCGACGAGTTGTACATATTCAACGGTTCAGATTATTAAAATTGGACCCGTGGTGGCCCCTACGGACCAGCCATCACTATCCAAATACTTTTCCGTGAAGGAGGCAATAATTTGCTGTGTAAGACATGCTACCCTAGCAGGGCAACTGTACGACCTACTCAACTTTTTTCTCCTATACAATTTTTTATTACACATTTTTTTGTAAAAAGACAAAAAATTAACCCAAACATTCATATTTTTTTTTTCTCAACTTTTTTGTCCAAAAAGTGCATTTATATAAGACACCCCAAACAATCGCTTCTGTACACTGGTTCTTGGTTGCTTTTGGAGATTGCAATGTAAATGATTTTAAGTATCTTGCTTAAATGTGTCTCTGATGAATCTTAAGTAGCGTTTAGTGTAAAATTAGTTCAATACGATTCATGGCCTATGTGATATTTGTCATATGTTATGAATTTATTCTCAATTATCTAAGCCAACAAGAACTTTGGAGTCCTGAAGCTTAGCTTAGAATTTTTTCTATTTTTCCTAAAATGACTATAATTTTTAAATAATTATATTATTTTTACACTTATATCAATTTGTAGTTAAGGGTAATATGATAAATTCAAACCAATCAATTCCACTACCCCACGTTTCCAAACTACATAATAGTTCTAATCAGTTTCAACATCTTTGAATTTTGTTTTGAACAATTGAAACCTCAAGGGGACAAAAACATTATTAGAAACATTTTTTTCTCGATCTCTTCTTCTAGCTAGCAAGAGCGCAACAACGAGGCTCCCCTGAAGGGACGACCACGTAGAGGAGTGAGAACCAAGGGAGAGAATACCTACATACAAATATACATATATATATATATATGTATTTATGTATATGTAGAGAGAGAGAAAGAGAGAGAGAGAGATCATTGTATTTATGTATATGTATAGATGTAGAGAGATAGAGAGAGATCATTGGTTTATTGAGTGCTTCTGGATAGGTATCGTTGTCTTCACTTCTACAAAAGCCCACCATCATTGACAAGTCTCTCAAATTTCGCATTAACGTATAAGTCTTGAACCCTAAAACCCCACATTGAAGGCACAGTTTTTGTGGCGTTGTTTCGCTTTCGTTTTGTTGTCACGAAGTGGTATTCGAACGACCCTAATTCGTTGGGTTGTCACTTTAGCACCCCCCACTCTAGAGAGAGAGAGAGATAGTTGATTTTCTTACTGACCTCAACGTTGATGGAGGCAACTCTCTAAACTACGGCTCTCATTGTTGTTGTGTTTGATTTTTCCTCTTTCTTTCTCGCCACCCAAACACAATTTCCGTATGGTTAAAATATATCTAATGGAAGGTAAATTGCAAAGCATAAAATGTGTGTAATTATTTAGATTTAGACGTAAATAGTTTGGGGTTTTTCTATTTCACTTTTTAAGCTTTTGTTTGTTTTTGTGTATAAATTCATTTTTTGGGTTTTTCTATTTCACTTTTTAAGCTTTTGTTTGTTTTTGTGTATAAATTCATTTTTTTTAAATTTGGTTTGTTTGTTTATGTGTGTTTTAAAATAAAAAATCCACTGTTACATATGTTTTGGATTTGTATTTTTTTCTATTTCATGTGCTTTTGTATTTTTATATTCAATTTTTTTAAATTACGAAGCAAAAAAAATGTGTGCAATTTTTTAGACTTTAAAAGTTTGGGCTTTTTTCCTATATAACTTTTTTGAGCTATTGTTTATTTTTGTGTATAAATTCAGTTTTGAAAGTTGGTTTGTTTGTTTACTTAATTTTGTGTGTGTGTGTGTGTGTGTGTTTTTAAAAAAAATCAATGTTCTTAATTTTGTATTTGTGTGTTTATAATTTACGTTTTGAAAAAATTAGTTTGTTTTGTTGGTTAATTTTGTGAATGTGTGTTTTCAAAAAAATAAAAATAAAAATGATTATGTTTTCAATAAAATTGGTTTGTTTGTTTGCTTAATTTTATGTTTTCAAATTTTTTTTTTTTTAAATTGTGAAACAAAAGGTGTTCTATTGTTCGTATTTGCACAGGCTTCTTTGAACAATTTCGTACTAGGGAAAAAAAAATGAATTTTATATTTTAATTCCAAACGAATACGCATATGCATTGCGTGTGCCCGATCGCTAATTATATTTAAAAGGGGTATTTAATAATCAATCCTAAAGTCAGTTCAGTTTAATTATGGTGATGATTTTTGGTATTTATCATTTGTGCTAGTTTAGTCTACACGAGAATGAGAAACATGGTTGGAACAATGCATTTCTTGAAATGATAGTATCTTTTCTTTCAAGTACTTGTCTTGCAATATTAAATCGGAATTATTGGTTATCCTTAATTATTGGGTTGGTGAAACTTGAATGAGGTGATATATAGTGATGATACAGTTACGATACAACGGGTCCCAGGTGGAATGGGTCGGACTAATCCACGCTTCTTCAACCGGTAACTGAGTATTCAAGCCCACCAGAGAACCTGCACACAAGTTCAACAGGGGAACGGGGAGTCTCCCAGCGAACCCTCCGACGAGCAAGTTAGAGAAAGAGAGAAGTGGAGTGTAGAGATATGAAATGGAGATAGAAAGCTTAACCTTCTTCTTGTCTTCAATGTCTGCTTATATCATTTGGTAATCATTTCGCCATCTCTTCCGACCTGCCACCTTGGCCGAAAGTCTATGCTATACCTTACCTTGTTCAGGGTGAAGGGGTGCTGTTCCGACGGAGAGGTGTTGTCGTAATAAATGCTGTGATGGGCTGCATTAATGGCGATGTGCAGTGGCAATAACTTTGCAGATCTTTGTCTGCTGATGTGGCTTGTCCTTTACCTGCCACATATCTGAATATCATTGGTTCTTCGTGCCATGTTGGCTTCCAGCTGTTCAGGATCTCATCAGTTGGATTATGTGTTGAGTTCTAAGTGATGGGCTTGGGTTGTTTATAGTGGACTATGACCTTTGTGGGCCTAACCACGTCATATAGGAAGGAGATTTGAACTTGTTTGTTATGTTTTATTTTGTATAGAATAGCTTGATGAATCTAATTTGGAATTGTTATTCTTTTATAGGCCATTGAAAGAAGAAGAGTTACTTTGAGGGAAACCGAAGGCCTACAAAATGAGAGTCCTATATCCCAGGACCGAAATGTTCTTGATCCTTCTGTGCCTACCACCAATCAAAATGCTGGATAGCTTGATTCCCTTACCCCCCAGAAGAAGCTCCTAAACTCAATTGACACAGTTGAGAAACTAGTGATGGAAGAGTTAAAGAAAATGAAGAGCACTCCTGGTGCTAAGAAAGCTAACCGGGAAAAAAAGGTCCAACCTTTAATTTCAATGCGTTGATTAATCATCTTTTGACCTATGCGGTAAGATTAATCATCTTCTTATGATTTTTTGGCTCTCAAATTTTGCTTTTAAAATCTTCTACTGAAGATTTTTGTATAGTATTAGTATTAAACTAGTTTGTTTTTTTTTTTTTACTATCATTTGTTGAAGGTCTTTGTGTAGGATTAGGGGTCCAACTATAGTAGAAAATAGGTTTTCTTATACATACTTCACCCACCGAAAATCACCGGTTTTGCAAGTGGTGACTTTTTTATTTTATTTCATTTTTTTATTTTTATTTTTATTTTTATTTTTAAAGAATAGGTGGTCACCTTTTATGCAATGGGAAAATATAGAAAATAATAATAAAAAATAAAAAAAACAGTTACACTAATCTTTTTAAGGATTTAAAAAATAGATTTAATTTTATAAAATTTGACATAATTAATTGTATTAGACTTCTTTTAAAATTTAATTTACATAACATTTAGTTCATTTATTTATAACATTTTGTTAGTTATATGAATAAAAAAAATTGATGCTATTTCTTTAATATTGAAGTATATTTATATATTTTTATTCTTGTATTTACATACAATTTGCATTAAATACAATTGTTTTAACTTTCTCAAATGAGAGATCTCTATAATTATATTAAATTTATGAGATTTATTATATGTAGTAATAAATAGATTCACATCAAATGGTAAGTATAGTTACATTAAGTTTTAAGTTGTCCTATTAAGAGTGAGCATAGTTCGATTGGGTTCACTAAATAAACCAATGACCAAACGACCAAACTATCTACGGATTCATGAAATTTGAAATCAAATCATAAAAATCTTAAAATCAAATCAGATTGAACCAATAAAATAAAAGTTCGATCCGGTTTGAAATCACATTTTTCACAACATAATCACCAAATATTACTCACAATTTATTTGAATATATATGTTGCCATTTTGCAAACAAAAGTATTTTAGATGATTATTTAGAACTAATTCAACTATTATACAAAATCACACTTGTAAACATATAGGATTAACAACTTATGTACAAAAATGTAATACTAATCAAGTGACTGTATGTAGTAAATAATAAATTATATATATATACATACATACATATATAAACAGATCAATTTGGTTCCAAATCATAATCGTAACTATAAAATTACGGACCAAATTGTGAAGTACGGTTTGCCAATTTTAAAAATTAAGACCAAATCATGTATTAAAAAAATAAATCAAATCATACGGTTTAGTTTAAGATTGAATGTTACTTACTATTCACTGAACAAACTTTAAAGTTGTGTAATCTAATTTAAAATTAATTTTGAGTTATACAATACTAAGTTATTTATTGATAAAGTTGTGTCTTATTACAAGAAGTGACAAGTAAATTAGTAACAACTAGTAAATATACAAAAATTGTAAATATAATGAATTATTAAGTGGTAAATAAAGTCACAATACATGGTAAGTAGAATCAAAATGAATGATAAGTATTATACTTATAAATGATAAGTACTTAATGATATTTTATTTATTACTCAATTAGACCTCAGTTACTCCTTAATTAGACTCTACTTACTACTCGTTCATATTCTACTTACTATTATATCAAACTTGACTTACGATTCAATTACTATAATTACTACTCAATAAGATCCAATTACTATTGATTGATAAGTATAATGAAAACAAATTGCTGGTAGAGTTACAATAACTGACAAATAATAAATTAGAAATATGAATTTTAAATTATTAAACAAAATGTAAAAGTTTATTAGACTTCATTTTGTTTTGAAATAAATACCACTTTGTTTGACTTGACTTACTATACAAAAAAAAATATCTCACGTTATGGTAAATAGAATCAAGACGTATGGTAAGTATTGTGTTTATATAAATGGTAAGTACTCTGACATTTAGGGGTTGTTGGTGGTGTCCTAAATAAGTGCACTTTTTGTCTTTTTGGACTAAAAATTTGAGGAAAAAAATATGGATGTTTGGGTTAACTTTTTGACTTTTTATGGAAAAATGTGTATTAAAAAATTGTATAAATTAGTGTATAGGGAAAAATTAAGATTGAGAGTTGTGCAGCCGTAATTTTTTTCTTTTGATGAATAATGATAACTTTTTAACTTTTTGAGTAACTTTTTGGCAACTTGCCAAACTTGGCCTTAATGGATGGAGTCCATTATTTTTTATCTCTTTCAATTTTGGTCTTTTTCTATTTCATTAAATTGCACTTACTACTATATTAGATTTCATTTACTACTTCATTACTTTTGGCTTATCATTTCATTCAATTATACTTACTAATTGATGAGATTACACTTATCACTTTTTTACACTATGCTTACCATTCAAATAAACTCCACTTACTACCACTTCATTAGACTTGACTATCACTGAAATAAGCCTCACTTACCACATCTTTAGACTTGATTTACCACTTAAATAAACCTTACTTACTACCATTCAAATAGACTCCACTTACTATTTTATTATTCTTGGCTTACCATTTCATTCGACCATATTTACTGTTTGATAAGGTTTCACTTATCATTTTTTTTACACTACCATTCAAATAAACCTCACATACTACCACTTCATTAGACTTGACTATTACTAAAATAAACCTCGCTTACCACATTTTTAAACTTGATTTACCACTCAAATAACCTTACTTACTACCATTCAAATAGATTCTACTTACTGCTTCATTATTTTTGGCTTACTATTTCATTTAATCATACTTAATCGATGAGACTACACTTACCACTTTTTTAAACTTCACTTACTATTCAAATAAACCTCACTTACTATTCCATTAGATTTGACTTATTATTCAATCAGCTTCCATTTACTATTTTATTACACTTCACTTACTACTTAATTTTGGTTCCACATACTTCACTAGACTCCACTTACTACTTAATAAGCTTCCACTTACTATTTCATTACACTTCAATTACTACTCAATGAGCTTCCATTTTCAACTTCACTAGACTCCACTTACTACTGAATGAGTTTCCGCTTACTACTCAATCAACTTTCACTTACTATTTCATTACACTTCACTTACTACTTAATTTTGGTTTTACTTATTACTCAATGAGCTTCCACTTATTACTTCATTAGAGGCCCTATCATGCAATGGTTCTGCTCTATGCTGGTAGCTGAATAAATAAGAGTAACCACCAAGATGCTTCAAGTCGGGTGCTTTTTAGCCACCAACAACTTGTGTTTCTGTTCCTTGGATGAGATCAACGATTCTTTCCATCGGAATAGTAACGGTCCGGTTCAGCCTTAGCCTTCCTCTGAGTCAGCATTGGAGCTAAACTATTTTTTCAAAAAAGTTCTTAAGAGCCGTCTCCGAAACATCCTTTAAGCAACCCACAAACTGTTCTGACTGGTAGTCAAACTTTCTTCGAATATGTCCTTGAATTCATTTGAGATATGAGTAAAACCCAAATTGGGAAAGAATATGGTCCTTGGGTTCCCTTTATTGGAACTATGTTTCTATTTATTTTTGTTTCGAATTGGTCACGAGCTCTTTTTAACAAACTTAATCACTTTATATTTGCAAATATTTCGATTGTGTTTGATACTAAAGGCTGCAGGAGATCTCTAGTTAATTGTAATTGTTTCGATTCTCTTTTACAATCTTCCACCTCAAGGTATTCGAATTATCGATGCCTTTCTTTTGAGCAAACCCATCTCCTCGATATAGCCATATTACTCTTGTCCTTATACAATTAACCCCTTCAAATACTAAAACCTTTCACCTTTACATCCATATTATAGAAACTTTCTCCATTTTCTACCAAATCAAGTGTCATTTCAAATACATCTTTTTCAGTTAGTTGATCCATACAATTTACATCTCTTTCGGTTGTGAGATCATCAGAATTAACGATATTCTCTTGATTGCTAATGTTGTACTCACTAGTGTCAATATCATCATTATCATTATGTAATTCATAAATGGTGTTGTTATGCCCATATGTGGTAAGTATAATAAAATTAATTAAATCAAACCAAATGGTAAGTGATATTACAATAAGTTAATGAGACTCCACTTATTATTTTACTAGATTTCACTTGCTATTTAATTAAATCGTACTTACTATTTAATGAGTTTCCGCTTACTATTCCATTAGACTTTACTTACTACTCAATAACCTTCCACTTACTATTTCATTACACTTCACTTACTAATAAATTAAACCTTATTTTCTATTTAATGAGACTCTAATTATTACTTGTTGATACTTTACTCATTAAGTGGTAAGTTGAGTCACAAAATGCTATAAGTAGGGTTGAGCATAAAAATTGAAAAATTTGTAAATCAGTCTGGTCTGGACCAAATTGCATGGTTTGGATTGGTTTTCTCATTGCATAGTTCAGCTCTAATTTTTGAAATAGGCGAATTGTACTTTACAATTTGATTAAAACTAACTTTATTATATTTATTTTGATATTTATAAAATTTGATTATAAATTTATTCCTAACTTTCTTAAATAAAATAACACTATACATTTTATTTCTTATATTTTATAGTGTGTCTTAAAAAAATAAAAAACAAACAAACAAAATGTGGAGTGAAAGTAGTCATGTTAAAAGAATAATTAAAAAATATATACAAAATGTAGAGTGGAAGTAGCCAATATAGGTGTTATTAGTTTAGCACAACTAATCCCTTCGAATACTAAAGTCTTTCACCTTAGCATACGAATTATAAAATCATTCTATGTTTTCTTCCGAATCAAATGTTATTTCAAATACATCATTTTCAGTTAATTCATCTAGAAGCTTAATATCTCTTTCAGTTGGAATATCATTAGAATTGACGATATCATCTTCATTATGAACATTATACTCACCATTATTACCGTCGTCATCATTCAGTTCATATATAATGTTATTCTTGTTTTGCTTAGTGTTGTCTTCCATCTGCAATAAGCATAAACAAATTAATTTAGAAAAATCAAGTAAAAAATGTTAAGTATAATAC